GAAACCGCCCGAGGTTCTCTTAAAGTTTGAAATGAGTTCTTTTCCATTTGATTGAAACTCGACTGCTTTAAGTCGACCCTGTATAAGTCAGAGTAAATCTTACCTTAACTTCACTTTGTAGCTTGACAATCTCTTGTCATTCTTATGCCTTTAAAACGTTCAATGATAATTGAATCAAAGAGGCTATCGACTAATCTCAAATCTACACTGTTACATTCCCTTTTTTTGAGTTGTAATAAAAGCGAATTTACCTCTAGGGGAGTCTACACCACGGTCTTCGAAATGAATCATTTCAGAATTTTCTTCGAGCGTAAGTCATGGTTCAGTAGTTGGCTCATTGTTGGTCAAGTTTTGTTATTTCGGGAAGGAATCAACTATATTCCCCATCGGATGTCTGGTTTGTATAAGTTAAGGCTACGAATTGTCTCCTGAATATTGAATATGATTTTTCTTCTAGTGTCTTGCACCTTGTAACGCGAAAATACGTACTTATTGACAAAATGGGAGGGCCGAACGGGAAAGTATTAGGCTCGTTTTTCTATGACGAAAGGACTAGACGCAGCTTGGTTATTGTGTCATGAACACGAGCCAAATATTTTCTCATTCCACCCGACTCAACTCATTCAATAAGGGTTTTATCATGCGACCCCTGCAATTTCTTATTCCTCTTTTATTTCCTTGGGTCGCATCTTGTTGGGCTGTACGGCTTTTTCCAGAACTGCTCACGTCATTGCGTATTACCCGACCAAATATTGGGATTTATTTCTGAAGTTTTTCAATGAAAAAATGCGCTCATTCTCGTACATGTACGTGTCACAAAAAAAATGCCCTTAGAAATCATTAGAAGTTAAAAAAAAAGTCATCTGCCATTCAGTTCATTGATAAGTGTACATCTATTTCTGAAATCCCATCCCAGTAATATCAAGTACAGTTTCACTTATTTCTTCAAAGCAGTAAATAAGTGAAAAATTTAGGTTATATCACACTTGCCGTATCGAAATTCGTACAGATATTTAAAATGAACGACACTTTTATTATTAAGAAATCTTGTGTATTTGATATGCAGTGGTGATCGTTTAATTTAACAAAAAAAAATACCTTCTCTCAGCTTGAAATCTTTTCAAAAGTCAACTTTCTCATGTTGTATTTGTCTTCTATAATTGACAGATATTTGTCGGCTATCGGGTTGAAAAACCCATCAAACACTATTTGAAACGAATGAGTAATTTCTTCACAAAAATGTATATCCATCTGTGGGTATTTCGCTTCTTTTGCGGTAATTTTTTCGATTGACGTTAAAAGGAAGTAGGCAAGATGATAAGGTTCAGATTTCCTTCGTGTACCATCAAACCGAAGGCATATTTTTCTAACTGAGCTTACTGCATTTGATCTAAGTCCCTTTTATCTTGCTGAAAATAGAATATTAGATTTTAGCAAGTGTTATCAAGGCAAATCCCTTAGATTACAAGTAATTTATTTCAAAATCCTTAAAAAAGATTCATACTTCACTCCATATCGTCTTCATTTCAAATACAATTGTCATTTAGCGTCTATTTTCGTTGAAGAGGATCTCGGAAAATAAAAAAAGTGATAATGCCCTCATGAGCTGAGGATTGTTGAGCTAATGTTGGCGATGTTATTTGTTTCTATAGTAACGGGTGTTCGAAGAGCTTGGAAGAAATATAGGCTTCACTTCTCAAGTAGATAAATGTGCTTGTACTACTTTTAATACAGAGGTGGTTTTTGTTTCAATTTGTTCCGCTGTGAGATCAAGAAGGGCTTCAACTACGTACACCAAAAATGAATACAGTTTCTTCTACATGTCTTAAATTTGTTAATTCAAGCTCACTTTCAATAAAATTATCAAAACACAGAAGCTTCCGTTGCGAAGTCGTCCGCAGTTGCGTATTCATCAAGAACATCATTTTCTTTTTGAGAGTTTTTGTAAAGGCCTCCGAACATTTCAGTAAAGAGTTCCATCTATGAATTTTCCAAGCGAGAGACAATCCTTGAAGATGAGCAGCTCTCAAAGAAATAGCAGAAACGAAACCTGAAAAAATTCTGGCTTTCACGGCAGTCGCACGCTTTTGTTCCAGGTACGAGTTGGGTGACACTACTAATTATTGATCTACAGTGAACCATGCGGAGAAAAAGCAAATTATTTGTGGATTATTCGAGGGATGGCCTCAAATTTACTTTCGAATCGTGGATTTTACTTGAAATGTGTGTCGCCTTATGAAAGGCCTAAAATTTAACTCTTTAACACTAAATCAAACGTAGCTCGTTCTGTGAATGACAGAGAGCAATTTTCACATCTAGAGAAAGTGTGGGTACTTATTAACTTTCTTACGACTACAACTTGAAATGCGTTAATTGTTTGTCAATGTACTATGATTTGCGATGTTGAAATTCATGCCGTAAAGCATCGAAATAATGATTAAGAACATATTGTGTTTTTTTCATATGTATATCCCGAAGATCATCATTGATGTGCACGATTGATGAATGCCTGATTGATTGCTCAAATGTTTGCGTGAGGGAGGCGCGACTCAACTTGTTTAGATTGTGAATTTAAAAACACAAGTATTGTAATGACATCGGGCTCAAAATCAAGGAGGGGCTCTGCGAAGTTTCAAGCATTTTCTCTTCTCGTTTACTTGAAACAAAGTACACTTTAGGACTCAATATAATTTTATTATGTGTAATGAGAAACAAGGACCACCATGTTTCTCCAGAAAATAGCACCAAGCGATAGAGTAAACGAATAAGCTTAGAATTAGGGTGAAAATATGAGCAGTTTTAGATTGTAAAACCATATTTAATAAATTTTTTGTGGTTGCTTATTTGGAAATTGTAATTTGTAAAGAAAATAGATTTTATAAAGTAATGATTTGTCGACAGAAGACCAATATGAACAAAGCACGCAATTAGGATTTCTTTGTTCCTACTGTCAACAGTAATCAGTTTTCATGGCAGGTTCTGGATCCTATGCTGCTTCGTGTATTCAATATAGCTGCATGGCCACTGGAAGAGCCTAAGTAATCATCTTTTACGTTTAAAATTCCTCTAAAGAGAAAATGAAAATTTTTATAAAAATCCCTAGACTTTATTGCAACAGCTTTTTCAGTTGGCGACAGGTAAATTGTTCTACCATAAATGAGACAACTGGTTGCGACAAGAAAATCTTTGAGACCGTTATGGTAAATTTGTACAAGAAATTATCCTTTTTTTTTATATATTTTGGCGAAAAATTCGTTTAATCGAATAAATATTATCATCCTTGATATCTTTGTCTTTAATATGTTTTAATTAACAAATAGAGAAGCCTTGACTGTGCTCTGTTCTGTTGTAAAGCACGCAGGAAGCGGCTAGAGCACGAAAGAAGTGTAGGGGGAAACACGAGACGTAGTCGTAGTCCCTACTTCTTGAGTCAAGGCTTCTCTATTTGTTTTATAATAAAGAATCCGTTAAATTCCCCAAGAATTACTTTCAATTTTCAAAACAAATCTTATTTCCAAAGCGAATAACAGTGTCGTCAGCATGCTCTATACTCTCATAAAGCACGCTACAATAAGCCAATCAGAATTCCTGTTAGAATGGTTCAAATAATCTGATTGGCTGTACAAGACTAAAGCTGTCAAAAATGTCAAACCATCAAAGTTCAAAAACCATCAAAGTTCATATTCTGCAATAGTTTACAAACTAAAATAGCTCGGCATGTCGAATTTAACACTTTTGCCTGAAGTTTTTTAGTTTCTAATACAGGATCTGAAAGTGAAATGTTCAGTGAAATTCGGCCCAATCGTAGCTCACAAAAATATGCAAGTTATTTCACATGACAAGTAGAAAACAAACTGTTCAAGGCGAGTGTATTATGAATGAACAACCGCCGAATTCACTAAGACAAAAAGATCGCTCGGAATGACAGCGCCGTAAAACTCGGTTGCAGTGACTGATCTGGCCTTCCACTCAACGCATCGGAAAGGTAATCAGGGCAAGCTCTTATTTTTTCACTCGAAGAGTAGTCGATTTAGTTCCTGAGGCTTGTTCCACTGCGATGACCGAAGATCGCCATGATTAGATAGCTGCGATAGACCTTAAGTCGCTCTGACACCATCATGATTAGTATGAATTTTAACAGTTATGCCAGGTTATATTTTTCATAATTCCTGTTTTTTTCTATTTGAAATCGAGACTTTATATACTATACAAGTGTTGGCTGCGTTTGATTTTTATTACCGTACGTAAACTCGCAATCTAACTTAGCGTGAAAACCGTTAAAAAAACTCGGACTGTCTATCTTGTTTTATCTTTGAGGATTTTTGTCTCTGCTCACGTTACAGTAACGTAAATTACTGCGCCTGGCATTTTTGCAAACCTTTGCTCGCTTGTTCCGAAATTTCACTTTCAATTAACGAAAGAAAAGCTAGAAAGAAGTCCCGAAAAAGGTCGGACATAGTACGATTTGGCAGATGGCGTGACAGCTTTAGCTCAGTTCTATGCTCTATACTCTCATAGAGCACGCTCTTTCAACCAATGACAGTACGTGTTATATCCGAGCTTTATTATAACAAAGCTTATGTAAACCCCCATTGAAAGTAGTAACTGGTCAACAAGGAACGAACAAATAGTAGAATGAAAAAAACAATTTGCATATGTTATCGCTATAATTGGTAAAATCGTCAAGAATTAAATGCCATTATTGTTAAACCATACCATACAGGGTATTTACCAGATTCGGTTCAGTTTTCGGGATAAGGTGCAAAACTATACTTTTAAAAAAAGGTCAGTTATTTCAGCGCCCATGACAAAACAGCAGATACAAGGTCCGTCCACCGGAAATGTCAATTAGTATCGTAGGCAAACATATTTTTCGCAATATTGAACTTGTTCTTTCTGTTGACAGAGTCAGAACTCCAGTGAGAGCTGCAATCTCGTGGCAGCGTTTAGCTTGGATAGAGTAAAATTCCGGGCTGCTGATACAATTTTGGCAACTCGAGATGCGATTGTGCGTCGGTTTTATGTTGCTGTTGTGGATTTGCTCTCTTTGTTACAACGGAGAAGGAGTCCCTGGAGATTCAATCCTGCGAAAGGCAAGATGTTATGCAAACTGCCTCACCCGGGTAAGTTTATTCCAAAATACTTCACGTCGAAGAAACCGCACTAAGTACTCTTAAAGTTTGAAATGAGTTTTTTTTTTCCATTAAAACTCGACGGCTTTAATTCGACCCTGTATAAGTCAGAGTTAATCGTATCTCAACTTCACATTGTAGCTTTGACAATACCTTGTCATGCTTATGCCTTTAAAACGTTCAGTGATAATTGAACCAAAGAAACTATCGACTAATGTCAAATAATTTCTAGCGTCTTTAAAAATTTCACGCAACAGAAACAAAACGATTTTAACGATCGAAAATATAAAAAAATTGATTGGCAGCTAACAAGGCAAAATCAAATCCAGTTCTTCTATTTTAAAGGCAAGACGATTGAGTTTCCGACCGGAAAAGATAATAAAATAAAGAATGCAAACTTCGTGTGCTGCAAAACTTCATGACCGTTGTTTAATGAATAGCGCTGAACCGAAAAATCTGTTTTTCTGTACACGATTTTTATGAATCAAAGCTTTAACCATGGAACACTGGGGCGATTCTTTCGGTAAAATAAATGTTACATTTGCATTTTTTGCGGTGTAATTAAATCGAATTTACCTTGAGGTGAGTCTAGACCACTGTCTTTGAAATGAATCATTTCAGAATTTTTTTCGAGCGTAAGCCATGGTTAAGTTATATTATTAATTGTTGGTCAAGTTTTGTTATTTCGGGAAGGAATCAACTAGATTCTCCGTCTGATATCTGGTTTGCATGAGTAAAGGCTACAAATTGTCACCTGCAGGAGTCTTTGGTTTAATTTTATTTCTTAAAGAGTGATTGCAAACGGTAATTCAGAATTGTAATTGACGCAGTTCACCTGAGGCGTGCATTTAATCCTGCAAAATCGAGAAACCGGATATACAGCATAATTGATAAACTTGGCGATTCTCACCGTTTATCTTACCATCAAGGAGAGATTAAATTGCGAACTCTATTTTTTTGTTTGTTACTGTGCAAAGAAAACATGAGCCCACGCTACCGTCGAAGCGCACAGGCCCATATCTCTGATATTTAGAACTGCTGTGAAAATTCTTGTTTTTTGTAGAACAATTTTGACACGTCCAAAGTAATTACTTTCTTGAAGTGCAAAATGACAAGTGTGTCTTTGTAGTTGACGAATATTTCCTTGTTTGACGATAGCTGCCTTGAATTTTACCGCTTAAGTTTACATTAAGGTACATTTGGTTTGCGGAAGACGTTAGTCTTCTGTTTTCTTAAATACGCGGGTTGAATTTACAAATGGTTTCTTTCATTTCAGTCAACAAATGCTTGGCAAAAATACTCACATAGTCTTTGGTGTGTGTGCGAACTTTACTGAAAGTAGATTTAACCTTAAGAGCGACAAAATAATTAAATTAAATCCAATAAGGACGATTTGAATAAAGCTATGCTTACAGCATTTGACATGATAACAAAAGGGACCCTCAGTGTAATTCTAGCTTTTTACCTTCATCTGTCGCTTCGTTTAAATAATTAACAACAGAAAACGATCTAAAAGCAAATTTCACTCGAAAAGAAATTATCAATTTTATTCTTTTACTGACAGATGAGACCGATAAATAAAAATTGCAAATTTAATTTGCGTTTTATAAAAACATTTTGACGAGGCAACATAACAAAAAGTCGACAAATAGGAGAGGTCGACGACCCGTGCTTAGTAGCCTTGGGAGAAAACTGAAATTCTGCGTTAAGTTACAGCTGAGAAAGAGGTTGAAACAGAGTTTTTAGTTTGTTTTTTTTTTGGGGAAAATTTAAGTATTGTTTTGACATGATGTAGTTTAATTAGTTTATACGTCTTGGTAAGAAATGATTTCCTTAACAATAAGGTCTCTATAGCTACGATATCCTTTAGAATTGTAACTAAACCTATTTCTCTTTTCGTTGAAGAAAAATCTATCATTCACATTCAGTGGAATTTTCGATTATTTGCCTCTAGGAGAATAGCACCCGAAAACCTATCATTTCCGGTTCATGGCCATGTTCGAGTGATTTCTGCGCGTCAACAAAGGATTTTCCGCTTCTAATCTTTTCAATCCCTTTATATCTTGTGTATGGAGAAGCAATGTTGAGCCAAGATCTGCGTCGAAGGGCTCTTCGATCAGATGACGCAGTGGAAGCAATAACCCGATTAAAATTTTGAGACTCTTGAAGAGCTTCGTCAACGCTTGTGCATCCTGTAGAATTTAGAGTGCACTTTATACATTAATTTTTTTCGGAGGGTAGAAATTGAATGTAAACTGCAAGCCCTTATAGATTTCTGTAAGGCCTCGATTGAAACCAACTGTTATGGTGAGAATTTGTACCAAGGACCGACCAACTTCGGTTTGAGTTTTTTGATTAAAAGCTTTTCGAATGATAAACAATCAAACCTACTTTGAATTTCTCAGAATCTTAAAGAGGCTTTTATTAAGATCGACTCTACCGTGCTCTATGGTGAGATGTTGGCCAATTGCCGAATTCTTGTGAATCAGCAGTGCGTTCTTTACCACTTTTCATGTGAACTGACTCAATACGTGCAAAACGTTTTGTTTAGTTTTAAGTTATTTACCTGTATTGTTGTGAAAAGTTTTTAATCAGTACCTATTTGTTTTTTTAGTATTTATAGCCTTACAATCTTGTCATTTTTTGTCTTAATAAGGACGTAATGTTGACGTCGAAACGTTAAGTATTTTATCGCAAATTTATATAGTTAAATACTGCTAATTCCAATGATAATAATAATGATAATGATAATGATAATAATAATGATAACAATAAGAAACATTAATCGACCACTCCCCCAATGGCCTGGGGGTTTTCAGGGCCAATATACTGTTATAGGCGAGACTTTGGGACTTCAAGTAAGTAAGACATGACACACACATGCCTGAATGCTTAAAAAACATTTTGACGAAAAACACTTAAAATGTTTTTCTAATTTCTACTAGAACGGGGTTAAGAACGAATCAGAGACTTCTTGCCTGACACAGGCCTGTAAAGAGGTGAGTATTCTTGTTCATTTAAAACCCTGCGATAAGCTAAAACCGTATGTCCAATACATTATTGAGTTTTCAAAACGGCGCGTTCGGATAAAACGCACAAAGTAGTACAAAATCTGATAAAGGACACTTGGCAACACCTCGCCCGAGTCGGTCCGAAGGTGTTGTCACGTAACAAGGTTTGGTTACCGACCAATTATTTCAAGTAAAAGTGAGATAAAAAATGATTTACAAAAATCAGCCCAGGCTTGAAAAGCAGATTCCCTTCGTCTCTTGCCGAATGTTCATTCTCGGTTGATTTTTCTGCTACCAGTATAATATTTCAATGTACCAGGGGCATGAAGATCTTTCTGACTATATAGTTCATTTTCAAATCAATGATGATTTTTCTTCTAGTGTCTTGCACCTTGTAACGCGAAAAGGACATTTCCAGACGAGAACTCATGCAAAGCAAGCTGTGTAAGTAGCATTCTCGTTTCCACATCCATTTATAAATGTTTGTGATATCTCTGAATTTCTTGTTTGTTGAACACCGAAATAAAACTGATTGGCACCTCGACAAAAATGAAATTCACAACCGTTCAATGGGAGCGAAGAGCGAATTTTAGCCCTTCAAAGTAACTGGGTTATGATTCTTGTGTTAGGTTCTAAAGGGCTCTTGGACCGAGAGTGCCTGGTGCGATTATTGTTATGTGCTAATAGTATCTCTTATTACTTTTGATCATGAATGGGTCCTTGCGAAGTTTCCGGGAAAATGAGACGTAGAGGGATGGTGAGTGGAGGAACCTTCACTAGACTAGCAACCCATTTAGGATGATCGTTTATACAGTAGTGTTTAAAGCCATCGGTATCTCATTGCAGGATTGTGCGTTGTGTATTTGGATTACAACGCTTTTCTGAAGCTTTAGTGCTTATAACTGGAAAGAGTCGTATTCCGTTAGCACCTCCCAGAATTTTCTCCATTTTCCGTGAGTTAGACTCTTTTCACTTTTGTGATGATACCAACATAAACAATCATCATGAAACTTATATAACTAATGACAGGGCTCTCTTACCCACTTTAGAATGTGCACTATGAACTTTTACCTCAACGGCCTAATCTAATATTTATATTTTTATTTCAGAGCAACGCCAATAGTTGTTTAGATAGTTGTGAATTCCTGACATGGCTGAAGAATTTCCAGTCCTTATCTAATGGTGATGGATCCTTACTACCAGTTCCTGGGCCACTAAATGTGACAATTTTGAATTTCACATCACTCTCCTTACAGTGGTCACATGTCCTAAACTCAAATGGTACTCCTGTTTACTTAGTTGAAATAACTTTTGATGGTGAGGAATCCAGATTAGGTCCGTTCTATCCGAATCAGGTAATTTTAATTTCTATTTGCGACAATCATTGTCCTTCTCACTAATTCATGTTCAGGACTCTAGGCACTGTGCTATAGAGCCCAAAAACCGAGTCTAAGGTCCGCGCTGTAGGCTAAGGAGCGAAGCGCGCTGGCCATAAATCCGAGCGAAAAAAAAAAAAAAACTTACTGTGCGGACTGAGAAAACGAAGATAGTAATGTAGTTATTGTATCTCTAGGTTCAAATAGAGGGGGGTGATTTCAATTAAAAAAAACTTTTGAACTAAGAGGGCAGTACTGTAAAAGACAGCCCACTAAATTGACAAGTTTATCAACTCGACCAATTTACCAATCATAGCACATGTTCTAACTGAGAGATCTATTATGATTTGATATTGATACTTCGGAAAGGATTGTGGGAGTCTTAGTTCAACACGAAATTATGCTATTTTTTCTAATCAATATTAAACAAAAATTAATTAGAAAGTTAAAATGATTTATGCTTTAAATATTCGCTGGGAAGCATTCAATATGCTTTAAAAACAAGAACAAAACTGGACTGAACAAATGGAGGAACTAAAATCATTAGCGTAAAAGTCCCATTTAAATTTTCTTGTCGATATGCATTTTGGGAAGAGTCCATTACCTGATGAGTTTCCTCACAATAAAGTTGTATCATTATCATCATTAGTATCATAACTGTTATTAACAAGTAGAGCGCTTTTCAACTGATTGTCGTAAAAAAAACAACAAAAGAATTTCAGCTGCAAATCATACGAAAGGAAAATGTCCTTAGTGCCAATGAGAACTCAGAGTAAGAAAGAGCTAACCAGGCAAAACGCGGGAAAACGCGAGCGACCAAGTCGAGATTGGTGTTAGTTTTGCATCTGATTGGTTGATAGAGTGGCACGAGTTTTCTGGACCAAGTAAAGCAAAACCAAAGAAATCCTGGATTACTTTTGACACTAAATTGAAAATTACTTTAATTATCCTCAATGCTATCCTTGTTGATATTTTCTTCCACCGTGTTCAGCTGAGACTGTTCATTTTCTGATTCATGAAATTTAACGTTTCTTTTATCTTTAATTTCCTTCTTTCGTCAAACTTATATTTCGAGAAATAATATTCTTTTTGTTTTTATTTTCTTTTTTAGGTCATCGTCGAGTCAAAGGTGATGCTCACCTTTAATCACCCGTGTAACTTTACTCCAGATATAAACCAGCGCGCTGAGTTCAAAGATATTAATTACTCGTTTAGAGTTGCTGTTCTGACAGAAAACTCTTCTTTAAGCTACGGAATCAAGTCAAATAGCATCGGTAAGTGAAAACAAATGTTTAGGCCACTACGGGAGCGAAACCCATGTCGTGGGTTCAACTCCCATTCAGGGAGAATTTTCGTAATATCGCCCATCTTTCCGCTGAATCGTTTACACCGTTCAGTGGATAACACAAAATATAAGGTACTGCCATTTTAATTTTTAAATGTTTTAAGGTCCATCATCTGCTATTTGGTGTCCTTCTTCATGTTTTCTAAAGCCTCTCATTGACGTGGGCCGGAGTCTTAAATCTTCGAATCTGATTTGGAAATCAAGCGCTCGTAACCGAACCAGCTTTTTATAATAACGACCAAAGTGTGGATTTTTTCCACACCATACGCAACGACGCGGAACAGTAAACCGGCAGAAAGATAAAAACATGTTATTAATCATAACCATTACAATTTCTTCAAACATGATTGGTGGGTTAGCTGCTTTACTTTTTACTACTCATTCCACAGAGTTGGACAATGTAATCGGACAGTTGACTGTAATCGAACACCTGTAAACGGACAGTTGAAGTAACCAATCAAACCAAGTCCACTCAGCCAAATCCACCAATCACAGAATTAATCACAATAACCATAGCAACAACCACTTATCCTAAAAAAAATTAAGGAATTTCCAAAATGGAGAAATTTTTTTCCTTCAGACATTGTCTCTACCAGAGATATTTGACCTAAATGTATTTGTTGCTTTCGGAAATTGCAAAGGTTATGATTAATTGGTAACAGAACTTCTTGTCGTCCAATTCTGTCTGTAATCACGAGTATGATTACAGACCGAATTGGATTCCTCTCGGTCCTATTACCATTATTTATCGTCTAGGTTGGTACGTATGGAAAAAATACTGTGCAGTTTTTCTCATACAGACCTCCCACTCAGTAGATAAAATAAGTTTACTTTTCCAGAGATTGTCTTATACTCGATCAAATCGCGTTCCATTTTGGAAAAGCTTTTACTTAGCTTTATCAAATGTCTTTCTTTATTTGTACCAGCCTTCCCAGAGCCAGATCCAGTAACAAACGTGACTCTGGATAGCCTAGTGTACGTTGGTAACCACGATGGAAATAAATTACTGATGACATCTTCTTGGAAAGCACCCAAAGGTTGAATATTTGACGGAATTCTCATTTGAGTTCTCTGGGCTGAAATATGTTGTTTTTAAACAATAAGAGAAAAACTCGTTTCATCTATTTTTAAAGGCCCACAATGACTTCCCCATCTTCCACTCTTAAAACAAATTTAAAAATATGAAGTCATTCCTGAAGCCCTTTGATTGAAGAGTTCTCTTCTCAATGCAATCTTCTCTACCATCGATCGCCTCATTATTAGAACTGCATTCCCTCATTGTTAACAAATCTCCCCTACTCGACAATCCAAGAGGGGCGTACATTTCCGAAAATACAATTTACAGCATTTTTTTTAGATAATAAAGGCCAAAAACATAGGCTTGCTAACAGAAACAGTGTTTTCGAATTTTCTATTTAGGACAAGAAAATATTGTTTCAAACTACGCCTTGCGTTGGAAACAGGATTCTCAATGCCAAGGAAGCATCCTTTTCAGAAATGGAGAAACCACAGGGGTAAGCTTATGAAACAATCAAGCATCTTTAAAATTACCAAGGAGTATTCACAAAAAAAGAAAGAAATACCCTTAACTTAACGATCGATCGAAAAATATCAATTTGGGGATAATTAATACTAAGTTCTCTGAACTAACATTATAAGAATTGTATTGTTGAAAGTAAGGAGAATTACAAATTTGATCTGGGAGTTAAAGGGTTAACAATCAACCCCACTCTTACGTGGCAGACGTGGTGGTCAAATGGTCAGCGCGCTGGGCCTAGGTTAAGAGGTCTAGGTTCGAGACCTGGTTGGGTCAGTGTGCTGTGTTCTTGAGAAAAACATTTTACTCTCACCATGCCTCTCTTCACCCAGGAGTATAAAGGGGTACTGGAGAGTTTTCAGGAAAGCCTGATGAAATGCTTTTTTTTTTTGGGGGGGGGGGGGTTGTCCTTGTAATGGACTGGCATCCTATCCAGGGGGAAGTATTGCTAACCCTGGTTACTTTATGCTACGGACACAGACTTTTCTCTCTTCTAATATGATAACTTCCAAACTGAGAAGTCATGTCAGTAGAACTAATAATTTTTGACGTTAAAAAATACTTACAGACTGTTGACTGACTTGAGATATAGAATATATAAATAACTGCTTGATTTGAACAGTATTTTTTTCAAACTTAAACCCACAATTTCTTGACTAGTGTTTTTTTGCAGTAGCGATAAAATTGATATGCTAATAATAATAATGATTATAAAAATTACAGCTATAATAATGACACTGTCACCACAATAAGGGCAGCTCTCGTCGCATAACACCCTTAATCTTTGAGGGACATATAAACGTCTTAAAATGAGTCCTTTGATATCCATTTTTCACAGCCTCAGACACGATACAATATGTCCCTGTATGCACAATTGAAGAAATGTACCCACGAGCTCGAGGTAAGATGGAGTACACTGTAACCTTCCATCGAGACAAAGATACTAATTTTGTGAAATTCCATGATTCACATTTCCTGAGAGTGACGAGTCTCATTCGAATCAGAAAAATGAAAATAAAATGACGTGCGATTTCTCTTCAAGTATTCACTTTTTTGTCAAGCATATGATAGATTGATTTCATATCGTTCTTTTTAACAATCATTTTTATATTAATAAAGAAAAAAACTAAAATGTTGTTCTCGTCTTCTCTATACGAAGATAGAGCTCGTTTTATTTGAAGCTTCGGCTGTTCTGTGTTTAAAGATCTTCATACTTAAGTTTTAACTTTTATTAATGTCCTCTTTTTGGAAGGTCTTTACCATAATTGGCTGCAGTGTGAGCGTTCCAGCAATTTTAAGATACACTTACCCAGGTAAAATAATCACTTGTATCATCTGAAATATAACCATAAATAAGCTGAATGGGACCGTAATAAATTTGGGACGTCATTTCTAGGTTGTCAAAACATCACAAGTTTTCCAAAAGACAACTGCTACAAATGTGAGTATTCTCTACAACTGATACACTTAAATTCTTGTCAAAATTGTCTTCAAATATGCCAATGCCGCCATTTTGAATCCTGCTCGAATCTGGGCGCTCCACTTTTTATGTCATTAGTAATTAATAATAAGTCTTACTCTGCTTTTTCCCATCTCTTGCTTTCCTTCTGATGAACAATTTGGGGCCACACAAAAAGACTTTGTTTACTCACATAATAACTTTGTTGCGATCTCCAGTGCAGCGGTCGATCGGAATTGAGGGTTGTGGTTTTGGTACGCGAACTGGTTACCAAGTTATCCTTTCAAAATGGCGGCTCACAGTGCCTCACTTTGACACATTTCAAGAAATATTTGTTACTTAATGAAAAGTAGTAAACATTTTGTACGATTTCAAATGGCAGTGATAGAAAGTCGGTTAGTTAAGCAATGCCTCCAATGCAAATGGTCTATTATTTTTTTATCCTATCCGCCCATTATCATGAAACTACAAATTTACTGATTGGGCCGGAAATATAGGCTGTGATAGACCTGCTCCGCAAATGCGGGAAGAATAATCTTAGGGTTCATCATATTATTACTCATCATACCAAACAAGTTATTGTAAAGATGCAGACAGAATAAATATGTACTTATGCTATATTACTACTCAAGTTTTTCTTCACTACAAACCGCCCTCCACAGTTGACCCTCCAGATGCGCCAATGGCAGACAGAATAGTCACTAACATCCGTCTCGCAGAACCTATGACACCTGCTCCGGACAACAGATTTTATGCGACGTTTACCTGGAACCCGCCAGTTTACCCTTACAAGAACATAACTGAATACGCGTTTACATGGTCCAAGCAACCTGAACATCTGTATTTAAACAAGGGTGGTGGTAGCCCTGTAAGTTTTTTCATTTGTTTATTCGTTGATAATTTTAAATTGAATGTCAAAAGATATCTGGACTGCTTTTTTTTTTTGCTTAACATCGCTCTGTGGTTGTTCCCGAAAACTTGCCCAACTGTTTCAGCCTACCAGATACACGACTTGGTCACTCGCGTTCTCCCGCGCTTTAGGCTAATTTTCTGTGAGTTCTCATCTATCCTGTTGTTGATCTGGCCTTGGTTGTTTTACAAAAATTAATAGCGAAGAGTGCTTTACGACAAGATCAATAATAACTATAGCTAAAACTTCAACCTCAAAAGCGCAGGAATCACAAATAAGTAAATTCTTTAACATAACTCAAAGAAAACATTAGACTTCTCTTAGCTTTTTCAACTGCAGCTTTCTAATAGCAAGACCATTAGTGACCTTTTGCCAGGGACGATTTACAAAGTTCAGGTGAGTAGAAATTCTACTTAAAAATGTGTCTGTCACTGCACAAGTATAATCAGTGGGAAAGGAATGTTAGGGGGCAAAATCCTAAAATCGTAAAATCCTCATATTTTGAATTATATAATTTGGCAATTAGCAGTCTGATCGAATCAAATATGTTACATGAACTAATGGTTTTACGCTTTTGAAGAAGGTTTCCTGATCATCTCTGATTAGTGAATAACAGTTAGTATTTCAAGAGAAAGCTATTTCATTTGTTCTCGGTGCCTTTTCTCCACAGGTCTATCCATTTTTTCAAGATAGAAGCCCTTCGTCAGAATTTAGTGATGCAACTTTTACTACTCCGGGTGAGTGATGAAAAAATGAAATAACTTGTATAAGAAGTGGGAAGGTTGAGGCACGGGAGATTTTGAAAAGCTGCTGCCCATAAAATAAAAACATAAACTCAATTGCATTAACGTTGTCATAGAAACAAGCAAAAAGGAAAAAGGTAAAGGGTAAATTTAATAGGCACAAAGCATAACAAGAAAATTTTAACTCTTGAGCAGAAGCATATGGCTCTAGCATATATACTTTTTCCCCCCAATTTTTCGAATCACTTGAAATCGATAAACACCTTATTTTCACAGGAGGTTTAATTTTCTTTTTTTTTTTGTGAAAATTGTTCAGCCACCGGGTATATCGCCATAGGGCAGTTTTATGTGCAAATCGATTCCTGTTTAGTTTTTTTCCTATTTTTTATTTTAATTGTTGCAGTTTGGTGTAGTTCAACTTAATGTTGTATTCTTTTTTTAACGCTTTCACATACGATAAATAGAGAGCAGCTATTCAGTAATTCCATCGAAACATCCGCAAATTGTATTTCTTTACATCATGTTCATGTAGGAAATCGATAATTTTGACCACTGTTTTGACGAATATCGTCGTCGATAAGAGTACATACTACACCAAAACATTTTTTGTTTTTTTTTTACCACAGTACCGACGTCAAGTAAAACGATTCTTTCAGTGCGTGACCATTGCGTTGACGCTAGCAGCGTTGTCTGTACTTTGTCTGTACGGCAAATTGACCAATCAGACTGCGACATTACTGCTCTGCATCCCAGGTCCCCCATCCCCCATTACCACGTAAAATGAAAAATAGACGGAAGTTTTAAGTTGCCTTTTGCCGATTCTCGCGGTTTGTTCGAAGACACTTTTTACCATCCAGGATGATTAATTATTTTTTACTTAACACTGATTTTGTGGTTTCTTTTTAAAAAGCAGAATTTTGATTTTTTATTATCCTTCAAGTCACACAGACTGAAGCTGTCCGATCTTTCATAGATGGACATTAAATTTAAAAATGATGGTAAAAACATTACAAAAAATTTCCAATGATGGTATGTTCATGGATTCAATAACTTGCGCTGGACTTGATGCGAATGACGTCCTTAGAGTCAGTCCATATTTCACACTGACGTTTCAAATTGAAATTTCATAGTGATTGACCAGCCAACTTTTATTAGAATTACGTTGTGTTTGCTAAGATCCTCTTGCGGTAATCTTGGATCTTGTTTTCAATATTACTTTTATTAAAATGAGTAAAAAGAGGATCCCTTGTTAAAAAATTGCCAACACCGTAAAATGTCTTTAACAATGTCAATCGAAAATTTGTCAATCTTTATTTAAAATGAATTTTTAATCTCGAAAAATTGCCCGTTAAAAAAATTTAAATGGCTCCATATTCCGTAGAGTGGTATCTTTTTTTTTTATTTGCAAAAACGCAAATGTTATATGTTACAGTTATAATAATAATTTCGTTTCTTTTTCCTTTTTTTAATTTAAAGGGCTCCCATATTCCGTGGAGCGGTATACCTTTTAATGGTAAAAAATGCAAGAGTTATATGCTACGTTTCTTACTAGTTTCTTATTCACAAAGCATGAATCGACCTAACATCGTCAAACAACTGACAATAACAATGTCTTCCTCCTTGCTGTTATACTAGGCATTGATCCAAACGAAGTCAAAGTAACCCATTTGACCGCTGGCCAATTCACCGAGTCTTCAGACGGTGGCAGTTTAAGTGTTCTTATATCATGGGAAAAGCCTATTTTTAACTACAGCACGCTTGCTTTGTATACATTTCGATACAAGGTTGGTAACAAAAATGGCAAAGAGGAACTGATGGTAAGAAACTGTGTATTGAAAACTTTAAGACTTTATAAATATATGCTTAAATTGGCACCATAATATCGACTGTTAGCATGAAAAACCAATGCTATAAAGAGGCGAAAGAAGGCATCACATACACGAAAGATCACTTAATACCTATAATAATCTTTTAGCCTTTGATAAGAGTTTTTTAATTACTTTAACTTTATTGATGGACTCGGCAACAGGAGCATTCTTCAATTAATCGAGGATTTTTCAGTTTCCGGAACGAAAATTTCTGTACATCGACTCTTTCACAGATTTCTAAACCAACGTTGCTATGAATAGTCAACAGAAATTGTCGTTTCTTTGCCTGGCAAAGGACTAATCATAGCACTGTTCTCTCTCGTTTTTAATTTGGATGTTTTAAATGATATTTTGGTTGTTATGGATACTAGTGCTTTCTCTGAAGTACCTGAATGTAATGTAATGGTCTCTGACTCTAAACTCTGGGAAAGTTTTTCAGATAGCACCTGTTTATGTGACAATTTAGACACTTTTAAATCTAAGCTTATGACCTATATTTTTGAAAAATATCTTTTTTTAATAGAAATTTTAATCTTGTTTTAGTAACTTTGATTTAGTTTCCATTCTTTGCCCATTTTTGTAAAGCGACAGGAACTTGTTCATCCATTTACCTTTATTCTAATATTTATATTGTTTATTTCTCAGTCTAACCAGACATATTTCAACATTTCTGGAATACTGCATGGTAAACTGGTCAGATATTGGGTAAGCTTATGTCCACGGATTTGTCCATTTATACGGGGTGAAACCAGGAATTTCTGATGGCAGAAGGGTTAAGGATTTTACCTACCTCTCAACGACAATTCCAACCTTAGTTGAAGTTCAAGTCTTCCCTATCCTGGTTGTAAGCACTGCCAATTTAGTGACGAAGAACTCCTTGGCGTGTAAATCAATACACTAAGTAAAAAATTTCTGGTATTATTACTTCAACAATTTAAACGAACCATGTAGCAGTTATGTCATCTACGATTCTTTTTTAGGTGACGCCGCATTACCAACACGATTGGGTCAAAGGAGTACAAGTGTATGGAAACATTACAGCGCCTGGTGAGAATAGGGAAAATCCATTAATTATAAATAAATGGATAGGTCATAGATGTTGGGCTATTCCTTAAAATGGGTCTCAAGAATAATATTTAATAATAATTCGTGTGAAAAGTACGATAACGTGGAAACAATCCTGCTCGAGCGAGAATCAAGTGAAATTCAGTTTCAAATATAATTAAAGAGAAAAAAAGCTAAGGGTTCCTTTGTTTGTTCCAAAGTCCCAAATTAAAAGGTACCGTTCAAACCTCTTCAAAATCTAACCGAGTACTCCCCAAAAAATATCGACAAAAAAATAAGAAACCAAGATATCATGCTTGAGGAGACGAAGGGCATGCGCAGTATTTAGTGCACCAAAATTTTGCATTGAGAGACAACTGACTGCACTCTCTACTTATACGATCCTTTTTCAGAATTTCATGCAACACTTAAAGTTTGGGTATTCGTGGGTGCTTGACGGGAACATTTCTTTTATTTTTATGCTTTTTTTTCTTTTCAAAGAACTTGAAAACCAGGAAATACAAGTGCAAAACCTACGTGTAGGTTCGTTTCTCGAAGACGAAGAAAGCAATACTTTCAGCGTCAATTTCACCTGGGAACCTCCGCCATTCAAGTTTAGCACTGTGCGCTCTTACACTGTGTCTTATGAATTATACGGAGATTATTCAAGGGAAGAACTTTCTTGTCCACCATTACAGATGGGCAGTCGCCGATTAGGATGTTCCAAAAGTGGAGATGTAAGTTTGGATTAGATGGGCGTGTGTAATGCAATCTGTTCATCTTTTGTAAGAGACAATTGAGGATTTCAACTAGTTAATTTTCATTAACCCCACCAGAATAGCAGAAAGTTAGACAGTAGTTAGTTATACAAATTTTCCATTTACAATAATATTGAATATAAGAACGAAAGTAACGACGAGAACAAGAATGAACATTTTTCAGCGATAGCCGTTGTCATAGCGATGGCAACGCCATGTTTTTTGTAAGATTTTGCCATTTGTGTTCATTCAATAATCCTTTCATTGGTCTCCTTTTATAGAACTTGACATTTCTGCAGATATCTGGAATGTTTCCACGTGAAAGCGTCACTGTGAAGGTATATTGCATTGGTTGCAGTTTGAAGCCCTCTTTTGCCAACAGCGCAAAACGGCATTGACGTTTGACGAAAACTAAAATTCATCAAGAAGTATTTCCGCTTCCAACTTCAAAAATTTGTGCAGCGTGGGACTTGTCTTAGGAGGAAAAATTTTTCAATACAACCAATAAATCTCTTACATCGGAGAGACACCTCTTTCTCTCGAGCACCATCCCAGGCTTCAAGGTTGTCTCTCGAAGGCACTTCATGAATTGAGTAAAAGCTAATCGTTAAATGTCTGGTTTAAAATTTTTAGGTTACGCCCATTTACAGCAACTCATACATCACTGGGAAAATGGCAGAAGAAAGAGGAACTGCGCCTCGTAAGAAAACTTTCTTTTGCACTTCACCAACCAGTTATTCGTTATTAACATTTATTTCAGCTATTTCCTCTGAAAGACTTCATTTAAGGATTACCATAATTATCAATGTGGTAAATAGATTGATCCATGACTCTGTGTAAAACGAAACTTCTATCCCATAGTTTTTTAACTAATGCAAATGGCTACTGATCTTAACTTTGGCGATTTGTATCCTGCCTTAAAACAGAACCCAGAGAGGAGCTTGTTCAGGTCAATAGTTTGAAGTATGATGAGATTTTCCCGACTGCCAACAACACTTTCCGCACGACAGTGAGCTGGGAGAAGCCACTTTTCACCCACAGCGATGTACACCACTACAGTTATAAAGTGGTGGCGATAAATTCTCTGTTACGGAAAAGGAGAGAAACGCTTTCGAACACCATGATAACAACGGTAGGAGAAATTATTTTTATCAGATTAGAAAAAACGCCCAAACAGTACTTGCAGTTACCCACAAAATGCGCAGTGAACTCCATGCACTGTACAGGGCAACTGAACAACAAAGATCTCAGCCTTGTTGATTCTTAATTTCTACCTCAAATTTTCTGCACGACTTAAAAGGACATCAGGGAGAAGCGGTGGCTTTAGGGTTAGTGCATTGAACTCCGCGTCCTGAGACCATAGTAATTCATTCTCACAGTGCTTTTCTTCATCCAAGAGTATGGATGAATATAATCTAAATGTGTGAAAAGCCTGGCAAAATGCCAGGGGTAACCTTGTGATGGCTTATTGTCCTATTCCCGGGGGGAGTAGAAATACTCCTCGTTGCTTCATGCAACAGAAACTGGGATGAGCACTGGATAGAAAGGCCATTTCGCTCGAGTTAAGAAGTTTCAAGAGATTTAACTCAACCAAGACGCTAGTGAATATGAAGGCGATTTGAACCTTTTATCCTGGCTAATTTGATCACCAGGAAATTCTGGGCCAATTTCCAAAAAGATCGAAGCAGGCCCACTTGGCGATGTTGGACGCCCATTGAGGCAAATTTGTCCCTCGAACTTGGTCCTAGGCTTTGTTCCAAACCAACTTTTATTAACTCAAATTTTGGCGGCAGTTAAGCTGCCAAAATTTGATTAAGCATACGCATAAATATGATTACGCATACTTATCTTCGAAAACTTTCCTTATTGATGACTCGCCGTCTATGTGGTTTCACTTCCGCAGACTGGTACCAGTGTTACGATCAGTGGGATCAGTCGAGTCGATGGAGTCGAATTCCAGGTAATTTAGCACAATTCTTTCGCGTGAGCGAAGCTCAAGCTGTCTCCCCACGTACAAAGGTTAACTGGCGTAAAAAAGTTAGTTATACGTGTAACCGAGATATTCAGTAATAACTAGCGTAGAAATTTCAAAAAATAAAGATCGACGATGTGAGTTTCATATGTAAGAGGAACATTGAGATATGGCTCTCCATTAGAAGGATAGTGGAACTCTTATCACGAAACTGCTTGGGGCTCTCTACGGTAGGGGAGCTCTTGCTCGCAAGAGCTACAATCGGCGACAAAATTGTTGACAAACTGACCTTTTTAACTCCCTGTTAATTCAGTTTTTTTCTCATTTACCCTGGTTAAGTAAACCCTTTCGCCCCCTTATCCCCGAAAAGATGTGGTTTCGCGATTCCATGAACTTTTAGCTAGATACAGGCACATTGAATGGGGGAGGGAAGGTCTTGTCAATTAATTTGTTGACTAAGAGTGTGGTAGAGACAGGAGTGTCATTCTACACATAAACAGGACTCTTCATCATGATGTGTCAAATCATTTGGACACTGATTGTAGCTTTCATCATGGAGTTTACTCATTTATTTGTGCCTTTTCAGGTTACTCCAGTATTCGTTGTGTCTGTGGTTACTGGTGCAGATGCCAAGATCTCGCTTGCCTGGAAATCCCAAACCGGTAAATGCTATACTTTTATTTTTGAAACGAGAGTAGCCGGGAATTTGGCGTCATCCTCTCAACTAACCAGCCTCAAAACTAAAAGTAATCGCCATTTGGTTACTCGTGTTTGATCGCGCTTAAAGTTTGCCTGTTTTCACCTTGAGTTCTTATTGACTCTTCGTGATCTAACTTATGATAAACTTGGTTTTGGCTTTGCGACACCCAGTAGTGAAGCATACAAAGAAAATTCTATACAGCTTCATAGAAGAAGAATTGCTAAATTAATATTTTTCTCTTATTGCATTTTACGAACTCCTTCGAGCTCTTTCTTATGTTAAATATTTTCTTACATACATATTTTGCTCCTATGAGGTATATAAAAGGTTCGACTTTGACGACGATTGTAGTGATTATGACGATGATGCTGCTGCTGATGACAAGGATGATGATGATTATCATTATTTTTAGATAAAAATCCTGTGTCTGATCCAATGACCACCGCTGAGCTGGCTGGGCTTGTCATAGGAGTGATACTAGCTGTATTAATAGCAACAGGGTTACTCTTTTGGTGTTACCGTGAAAGACAAAGGAAGCTTGGAGCTAAAGGACGTGTCTCTGGGTATGTTGATTTATCGTCTGATAAATTTCATTTTTTTTTTTTCATATTTTGCATTCATCTTTTACTCATTTACTTTTCACCTTCGCAGTAAGAATGCTCTAATGATTGATCATTGGGAGGTAGATGGAGACTCAGTGACCCTGGAGGAGGAGCTTGGAGAGGGGGCCTTTGGAAAGGTGTACAAAGGGGTCCTCAAGGAATCTACATCACCATCACGGAGACTCTCCATCATGCGTCCCAAACGCCCCATGCGTAGAAACATGCTCAAGCAAACGGAAGGACTTATTGTGGCGGTTAAAATGCTACATGGTGAGTTGAATTTATGTAATCTTCTCATACATAAACGCCTTACACTAATCAAGAAAAATAATATCACACCCTGCTGGAGGTGGAAAATTAAGGCAAAGGTCGACTGAAATTATCATTTTTCATTACAGGAATGACAGATAACGATCAGCGCAGAGAATTTCTTGAGGAGATACGGCTAATGAAAGCCGTAGGAACGCACAAAAATATTGTTAACATGCTGGGCTGTTGCACTGTGGAGGAACCAATGTTTTTGCTTGTTGAATATATTCCTCATGGAGACCTTTTGCATTACTTGCGAAAACGTCGAGGAAAGGTATTCACCTTACGCGATGTAGCATCAAGATAGAAAAATAGCTCACTTGCACAATCGTTTTTAAATGAAACTGTGAACGAATCCTGCGTCGAGGATTCCGAGTCATGTGGACACCCTTTTCGGTGTCATTCCTCTACTGAAAGACGTGAGATCAGATATCTCGAGTAATAACTTGAGATGGACTTCCTTACGAATAAGGGATAATTTGCTGAGGGGGGACTTTAGTCAAGTTGATCTTTTCTAAGTAATCAATTAGAAGATTTTGTCTGTTTCATTTCAAAAAATGGCGAATTTCGAAACAGTTATGAATCTAAAGAAATGAAGAAAGATGTTTTTCGTCTAATAAAACAAAACGAACAAAACCCTTCCTTTCTTTCTGTAATAAATTTATTCTGATCTGTGTATATTATTTATGTGTAGTAATGGAAAATTATTAGAAAGTCAACAGGAAAACAGCGGCAATAAGGGTAACAGTAACAGCAAAGGTTTTACTGAAAAAGAGAGTAAATGCAGCAAAGCCAAAAGAAATGAAACGATTCAGATCTTAGTCAGCCCTTAGTTTTTGCCAGCGAGAGCTTTTTAAATTTTCAAGCACCAAACTGATCAGGTAAGAAGTATGGACGGGAACAAGTGCTGGTTAATTGCTTAACTGCGATATCTTTGTGACCAACTAAGGATAACAATCAATTTCATCCTCCTCCTTTTTTTGACTTCAACCTCTTCCGTTATGTCCATACCATTTCCTTTCAGACCACAAGGAGTGACTGCATTTATGTTAACAACACTGATGCACTAAAAGGTGACGATGGAAATATTCAAATTATATCATTTACACAATCTGCCAAAACAGAAGAGAGAGGGAGAGAAAATACAAGAATGGACAAAGATGAAGTTCATGAAGACGCTGATGACGACGAGGAGACTCTAAGCCCAGGAGACCTTTTTAGCATTTTCCTGGCAAATCAGCGAAGGAATGGTGAGACACTGATTCGTTTGAATCAACTCAGCAATAACTTGATGCTTACCTTGCGCAAGGCATTAACAATTGGCTAAATTGTTCGGAAAGTCACAACAGTGAACATCGGACTATTCTCTTAAAAAATATCACACTAACCTTGAGTTAGCGAAGGATTAAGTGATAATTTTGAAGAAGGTCACTAATAGGCACAACAGGATTTTCTATCTTTATTGCTTGACCCTGTAGTTGACTTGTTCTACGCAAAAATGGACTAGCGTTCACGTGCTCGAGCGTGAGTTATCCTAGAGATTTCCTGGGTTTTCAATTGTGATTGAATGTTGGGACGAGTGCGAATCCACCAGCAGGTCGGGTACAAACCAATACAAACTGGGTTAAAATATGCTGAGAGATTGGTGTAGCCGTCCTATCATTAGAAGTACTACACTAGAAACGCATGAATTAAATACCATCCCCGATAACAGATCGAAAATTGGAAGAGGATATGTGGAATAAGCACTTAAGGTCATCTGTAAGAAAAGTGTTGTATCACAGCAGTAGTTTTTCTTGCTTCAGTTCTTATTATTCGCCAAAAAATATGGAGCTAGGTCAGGTTTAGTCTTTTTGAGTGAATGCGTATACTGGTAAAGAATTCTTGTGATGTTAGGTTGTTTCTGTCATGGATGAACTCTTCTAAATTCTTATTTTTGCTTTTACTCTTGCAGGAGTATCTGGCAAGGAAAGGATTCGTGCATCGTGATTTAGCGGCCCGCAACGTTCTTGTTGGTGATAATAAGATAGCGAAGGTGGCAGATTTTGGTCTGACTCGCCACGTTTATGAAGAGAAGGTTTATCATGCAAAAAGGAACCGAAAACTTCCCTTGAAGTGGATGTCAGTTGAGGCCATCTTTGATCATACCTTCACAGCTCAGAGTGATGTGTAAGTTAAAGTTTTGTTTAAAATGGCTATTATTTTTATAAGCTGTTCGTAAAAATTTAGTGACTATTGTTCATCTTATTTCAATAACTAGGTGGGCTTTCGGCGTTCTCCTGTGGGAGCTGGTAACATTAGGTAAGGAAAAGGTTTCCTCAAATTCTTTTCGTTTATTGATCAATACGTTAGTCCACAAAAGCTAGTTGTACGTAGTTTTTAAGCCAGTCCAATCCAACGTAAATATGGAAGAAAGCCAATAGGACCTCACAGTAAATAGATATTCATGACATTACTGAAGAAATTCCTTTGGCATAGATTAACGATCGGTTGTTTCTCAGCAATTGGCTGAGCAAGTTTTGTTCGTGAGTTTCTGAGGCCATGGAGCACTGTAGCAAAACCAAAGCAATATCGTGTGTGGGCCGGACATGTAAAGCGGCAAAAAGCATTTAAGTAACACAAAAACAGCCTCTTATACACAACGAGTTTATTAAGAACGGAGAACTTCATTATTCACCGGCACAACAAACGATGCCGACATTCATCTTGAATTACAACCTTGTAGCAAGCCCTGCGAAACCTGCGAAACATAACAAACATTACCTTGCGAAGCAAAACTCTAAACAGAAACTATCTAACAACTTACCATGATGATGAAGGGACGGCATAACCGAGAGAAATCACAGTTTTAGCATATCATAAACGAGGGCCTTACTACGTGCGATTTAAAAGTGAACAAGCTACTGAAGCACTTTGGTCTTACGCGTACAACAGTGGAATGGACTTAACATTAACGACTTCTTGAGGAAAAGCCGCAACAGCGTTGTACTTGTTTGCGCATTTTTACTTCAGTGACTATACCAACTCATTTTATACTGAAAATTTCTAATGCGACCTCTTGCAGGCGGAACACCATACCCTACAGTAAACAACAGAGAGTTGCTTCGTCTTCTCAAAGATGGATATCGGATGGAAAAGCCAGACATCTGTAACGATGAAATGTAAGTAGCCATGCAGGTTATTTTTGTTTGACTTTAAAACATTGATATCGCACATAAATCGAAATTCCAGTATTGATAGCATCGAAAGGGTCTCAGTTTGCAAGAAGACAGCATGATCTTTCTTTCACCTGGTTTAATACCAGTTGACAAAGAAACGAAAAACAGTTTCTTCTTTAGCTGAGTTACGCTGGGCGATGAAATCATTTCAATGGCTCAATTTATGATATTACTTTGCTCTTACTGTAATATGATTTTAAATTACAACAATTTTCATTTAATCAAATTTATAAAATGCAATGGATGAGGAATTATCAGCATCTGAAAAAACTCTGAAGCGACTAACACCCCTAAATCGAACCACTACAGGTACAAAATGATGAGGGAATGTTGGTTGGAAAATCCCTTCGACCGACCAACTTTCACCCTAATCCGAGAGAGACTGGAGGAGATGATGCAGAAAAACAACCCATATTTGGACCTCAGCGTCCTCGATGAATCTCAGGATTGTTACAATGTGCCGTCTTTTAACAGTTTAGTAGATGAATCTGAAGATGAAGTGTTTGACAAAGAAGAAGGCTATGATTTACTTGAAGAGGACCATAAGGAGATAATCAATGACAAAGATCAGCCTATCAAGGACTCGAATAAAAACGAAACTGCTCCTTCGCAAAAATCTTCAAAGTTTCCAGGAGAGGAAGAAAATGACGAGCCAGTTGATGTAGACAAGATTGACTTTAACAACATTGCTTTTCAGAGTAATGACTTAAATAATCTCAAGGAGGTAAAGGTAGATTTTGACGCTCTTGAAATGGCGCTGTATCGCCATAGCGGTAGGAGATTTGTCTTTTAAGAAGAAATGCTGAGCCAATGGAACCCCGAGAAAAGAACTCAAGCTGATTAAAAGTAAGAAAGAATACAACAAGAAATTTTATATCTATCTTTAGAATTATAGTACCTAAAATACTCCATATTTTGTTTCGTTTTCTCACGTCATTGTGTTTTCGTCTAAGTATTTATCAGAGAAAAATATTTGCGAAAACCCTAAATTGCAGTTTTCACTTAGGTTTTTTCACTTATATTTTTAAGTGGATTTGCGACTTACAAGTTAAACCAATACCCTTAAGACAACAGCAATTTTTGCATGATCTTTGAGAAAACTGTACACAAATACAGAAAATCCTCTTTTTCATAGTTGAAGTTATTTATGTTAAACTTTGAGAGAACATTGCCGAAAGCACGAGGAAAAAAGTTCAAAATTTGTCTATGATCGTACGTAGTATAATTATAGTAGTCGTTCGAAGCTTAACAAATAAACAGGCGGATCTCGTTTTTAATGCGGTTTTGTTTAAGCTCCTCTCTTTGCTCAGTAGCTACCAGCGAATAGATTGCGAGTAGCGTGGCCAATCAGACCACAGCATCTGCCATAAACAATTCGTATTACACAGCATTTAATTTCAATTTCTCTTTATTTTTCGGCGCTAAAGAGGCAGATGTTAGACAAACAGTTATGAATCCCAGTTTAATTGGGAGTGGCGCTAGTGTTAATTTTCAGCAATAACATTAGTCATTACTTCACGGGTTTATTACGAACCTACAAAATGACTAGCTCTCAGTTCGCTTGTTAACTTAGAACACTATACCAGTATCATAGAGGTCATGGGTTCAATTCCCGCATACAGGCTTGAAATTTTTCTTTTCAGGCTTTATTTTTACCACTGCTAACGAAATGTTCGTTACTGCGAAGATCACTCTCATGTTGAAATATTATCATCGTTATCATAATTATCGATACCACTACCATCGCACGAGAAAATTATACTACCAGAGCAAGAGATTATAATCTCTTGTCCAGAGTTATGATGACAAATTTAGGAAAACGAAATTTAAAATTGAAATAAATAGCATAGCTAAACCAACCGTATACCAGTAACGAGAAAAAGCTTTTGCAGTAAATTTAGGCCAAAATATTCCTTTTGTAATTATCCAATGATGGAAAACCGAACGTAACCAGCAGGATCTGGTTTTCTTTTATATTAAATAAATACCGCTAAAAAGTAGCTTATAAAAGACATTTCAGGTCTTATGAATATCCTAAAAATTGAGAAGGATTTTAACAGAGTCTTCTCAATCCTTTTTGCTCTATTTTATAACCGAAAAAAAACTTAAATTTTCGAATAAATATGTTTTAGATTGAAAAGTTGTGATTTTTTCCAGACTTGAAATGATTGTTCAAAACAAAAAAATAAACATCTGATTTTCTGAATGATTACTTGATGTAAAAGAGAAACAAATCTCAGTTTTATTTTTGCACTTAGGGCCCTCAGATATGAAGCGTCTTGTTTGGACAATAAATATAATAAGGGGGAATAATGAAACCAAACATGACAAGGTTTCCGCTACTTTTAATAACATGCAAACGCGTTTTCTTGAAAGAGAAGAGTTTTTATCTTATCACTGGAGCCCAACAATTGTGCACGCATGTTCTACAAGAGGCTCTAACAAATCAGACATGCTCTTGATAGTGAGTGGAAACTCGCCGCCACCATCGCTCACTTGAGAAACAACCGTCTGCAATACAACAAGAAAAGTTTCTAGCGATCAGTGAGTAAATCGTGCTCAAGCGAGAACGGAGGAACAAGAACAAAATTGTGGGAATCATCATATTTCAATTGAGATTGCAAACTGAAAAAGCCGGCGACATTTATATGAGTTACCTAACTGAATTCATTTTATGCAACTTTTCTGAGCAGATGTAACCCGAAAAAAACGGATTGGGCCAACGGCCTACTGAAATTAACGCGCTTCACTAAGAGCGGCGACGCCGTGTTGAGAAATCTCAAGAAGAGATCAACCCTCATGATCTCCTGACCTCACTTTATTCACTAAACTCCACTGAACAATGTCTTCGAAACAAGAGTTCAAACTGGCTAACGCTTTCTTTTCTGTCAACACAACAAAAGAGACGCTGGCGAGCGGTTTAAGAAGTTAAGTCACGGGATTTTGTTAATGAAAAAAATTAAGCAAAAAAAGTTTGACTGACTGCTCTGAAAAAGTGTTCAAGATACATCAAATGACGGTCCAGCATAGAATGAAACCTTTTTCGGGAAAAATGTCCTCGGTTACTTCTATAGAAATTATGAGATATCACAGTCGGTGCAACTATACAACGTCTTCGCTTAAAAAATTCCTTCCTAAGGACCTGATGCGGTCATTGTTGTGACGGTTCTGACGGACAAGCTTCAGTATTCTCATTGGTGCCCTTTTATTCATGACAGGACGGATAATGCGTGCACCGTAAGTACCTCCCGTTGTCCGATACAAAGCCTTAGAAAAGTTTTCTAAGGCTTTGTATGGGACAACGGGAGGTACTGACAGTGCACGCGTTTTCCGTCCTGTCATGGATTTACATTCGAAACTAGGAAAGATGAAGAATAGGAAAAAAGATATCATTCCATTGTAACTGTACTCAAGCAGGAGGCGGCTGAGGCTAAAGCTGACCCTACCTGAATATTTACGATGACCCGAAAAAACACAAGTCCCAAGAAGAATTTCCAGTTTGGTAGAGGAAGACTGTTTCCAGTGAGATCACAGTACAAAGACAGCAATGCCTCTTCACTAGGTATCCCCTCTGAGTAATAACCTACAAAAAATATTTCCACTCACTTAATCGCTGAATTAATATTCGACAGAAATTCTGAATTTTGTTTTCTCCGAACGAGGATTTTAGAATGTAAAATTGGCAAGATACATTTGCTCATAATTGATAAAAAGGTAATCTGTTCCCAACGGCTGGACATCCATTTAAACTTACGAAGATATTTCCACTCATTCAATCGCTGAATAACTCTTTGACACAGAATTTCCGAATTGCGATTTTTCCGAAATAGGATTTCACAAAATAAAAATGGTAATATTCAATTGTGCGAATAAAGGTCATTCGTTCCGAACCGCTGGATAACCATTTTAAACGATACTGTCCATGGCAGTCGGTAATATGTTGTTTCACTAAGTTTTTTCTCCAAAGAAAACATCAGACATCTAGATCAGACTGACGATCAGTTAAACCCCTTCCATACTTAGTTATCCATTGGGGATTGTTGAAATTTCCTGTTGCTTTATTTACAGACTCCTTTTCTGAGTCAATTAATTAATTCACTTGTGTTTTTTCCTCTTTGCCAGGATACCAGTAGTACCCTTGTTAAGATTATCACTGCGCATGCACAACACATAGGCTATGCGCAAGCTCGTCGACTACGTGTCACGTGACACCAGAGGCGAGAAGTATCTGGAAGCGGCTTCTCGTTGGTAACAACTTCAATACAAGGATAACATCTATCTTAAAGTCATCTTTAAATCTTAAAAAAACTCGTTTTACCAATCTTTCCAGCAGGCATAAATTCCAACGCAGCGGGAAAATGGAACGGAAAACAGAAATATGCCAGGTCCTCAAATGGATGCCCCCAGCATGCCCCTTCCCAGTCTATCACGGCCAGCGCCTGAGACTGAAACAGGTAGCACGATTCGGTCATAAAGTGGTCGGAAAAAGATATAAATAAAAGGAGCGGTTTGGAGATCATATTATTAGGAAAAACACATGTCCTGATTACGCACCATATAATAAGTAAAATTAGTCTAGTGTCAATCGTTCTATAGACACTTACACCCTAGTTTACTAGTTAGTTACCTGTGAGTGTTTGTTTGTTTCATTAGTTTTATTGCGTACCAGTAGTTGATGTTTATATCGTTGCTTATTGTTACGTAACTTATGTAGGCAGTCGTTGCTTATTGTTACGTAACTTATGTGGAGTTCTTTGTCATGGTTTGGGTGTAAATTAAGACCTTCGGGTCAATCTTGTTATCCACTTTTTTTAAAGCAACTTATTCGTTTTTTAAGTGCGCATGCCTGCGAAGCCATGCTCCGTTAGGGTAAAGCTATCTTATTTTACTGTAATTTTATTTGTAAGTTTTTGTTTTCTTGTTTGTATTTTTCCCACTCATGTTTAGTACCATAGGCGTGTAGACAGTTTGAATAAATGATGAGCACAAATATTCGTAACCTCGGTTAACCTCCATAAGGATCGAAGCAATTGCATTTAACATTTTGTAGGTAGAGTAGCTCACATAAAGATGCCATCCATAATGTACGATATGAAAAGACATAAAAAAGTTCCAGCTACGCGGGATACTTCCGAAGAGTGGTCTGCCCTTATATCACAAACCTCACCTCAAGATTGCACTCACTAAAAAGTTTGAGAAGCCCAATGCACTGAGGATCGAGTCGCGCTCTTTCCTTGCCACAACCAAAATAGAAGCAGGTGTTCTCATCCACCGAAACGACAGTTTCTTCAGCTTACCTTTTAATTGGGGGGTTATTTGTGTCGAAATCCATACATGAGTACAAACATATTGCATTGTCTTATGAGTTAGTGAAACAAAATGCAAACATATTGTCTAAAAAACATTCTCTTAATTACCTCATTTGGGTGCCAAAGTATATTTGAAATTCTGAAATCTTCGTGATGGATGACTGCAAGTCAAATACCAACCATTAGAGGTTACAAAGCTTCGATTATCAAAGATAAAATTTGAAAGAGATTTTTGGGCTAATCCTTTGTTAAACCGTTGTTCCCTCGTCCCAGTCCTTCTCTCTCCCCCCCTCTCTCTCCCTCTCTCTTCCCCACTCCCTTTCCACCTCCGTTACCTCCTGACTCCCTCTTTTAACTCCCTTGCTCACCTGTTCTACCACACCCTCAACTTGTCGCTCTTTTCCTACCTCCTTTCTCTACCTCACTGCTTCTCTCGTTCGGTCCGTCACCCTGGCTTCCTAGCTCCCAGGTTCATTCGTCCTCAGCCCCCCTCCGTCCCCCTTCGCACCTCTTCCCTCCACTCCTCTCTCCTTCCTCACCACTCACTCTCTCTCGTTCACTTTCTCCCTTCCTCTTTCCATCGCAAATATCATAGGAGAAGCTTATATCTATTTTTGCGAAGATTACGAAATGTCGAATAAAGAACAGTTTCACAACGTTTCTTACCAGGTTTCTTGCCATCGTTGGGTTTTTTGTCTCTCAGCCACTCCATTAATCGATGAGCTTTAGGATTGGACTTCCTTTCTGTCTTTTTGTAAGCTTCAAACAGCATATCCATCTGAGAGGCAACATATTTTCCCCATAATTACGTGATAATTCATACTTATAATTCCCTCTCTTTTAAGCCCTTCTTACTATCAAGCTCTCCTTTTAAACAAACTCCCCTCTCTCACATGCCCCCTCTTTAACAAGCTACCGCCTCTAACAGGCTAGACCTTCTAGCCAGCCCCTAATCTAAGACGTTCCCCAATGTGATAACTACCTTTTCTAACAAGCTGCCCCTCCAACAAGCTACCCCTTCTTACAATTGCAACCTACTCTCTAACAAGCTACCCCCTCCGACAAGCCCCCTTTGCTAAGAAGCCCCATTGCTAATAAGTTCCACTCTAAAATAATCCCACTCTCAAATAAACTTCCCCTCAAATAATTCCCCTTCTTTGATTGCTCCTCTACCCAAGAACCCCTTTACATTATACCTCCCCGTCCGAAGTTTCAAGTTTCTAACAAGCTCCCTCCTCTAGCGTCCAAGCATTTCTTGAGGAAGAGCTTTTTTTAAAGTTTTACCCACCCTCTGTTTTAAGACGTCTTCTTTGTCACCGATTCCTTCTAAGGTAAGCTGATCCGTATCTAGAGACTGAAGTTGCGCTAAGGCGCGTATCGCAGCTTCAAAAATGGCTTTTGGCTGGTCCGCAGGGACGCCGGGTAGATTGGCATCCGGGAACTGACGACCCTGTTGAAATGTAATGTTGAAATGCTGTCCATCACCATTTATTATTCGACTTACGTTAGACATAGGATCGTTCACTGGAAGTCGCATTGTACCATTTTGACCCAAAAAGTATAGCTACAATCGAGAATTGAGACTCAAGTGGAACAGTTAAACAGACTTTGCAATAGCTGCTGGCTAGCATAACGTTTTCCTTCACCGGAAGTCTATCCCTTAGTGGCATGCAGATTGGGATATGGTTTTGTTCTCTTCTTTTTCAAGTGAGCAGTCTTACGAGATGCGTAACAACACTGTATAGATTTGCATGTCCTACCGTAAGTACCTTTCCGCAACATCAACTTCAATAGCTGACATTATAACAATTTATAACAATTTACTGTCCATACTGTGAAATATGGCACGTGATGCTCAATTGAATAAAATTGCTGATATGCCTTCATTTTCAGAGTGCTAGAGCACAACTTAAGAAGTCTAGTGACTACCTTTCATGGCCTGAGTTACTCAGGAGTACTCTCCCCACCCCCTAAAAATACTACCTAGAGCATCTACCTGTTATTAATATGCACGGTTACTCGATCAGCAAAAACGACGAAACGTTTGCATCGTTTGCTGGAACAAAAACAGCTCATCTGAGAGAACATCGCGATAATCTTTTTACCTTGATGTACTCCATGACGTAAAATTCCTGGCCCATAATTGACTTGTCCTCACAAAAGAGGTACATTTTCGGCACCGGAAAAGAGGCCTCTCCAAGAGCGGACATGATTCTATGCTCAACGTCGACCTGCGCGTATTAAATTGAAAACGTCCATGAAACCAGATTATACTCCCTCTACCCTGTAGTTTGAACTGATGCAAGAACAGTACCTTGTGAAATCCTGCATAAATCTGGAATGTTGCCTTGTGCCTCAGAACGAAATCTTTTCCATTTTTTTGAAGCAGAAAGGTTGGATTCGACGTTCCAGCCCTTTTCATTGCATCAATAATACAAATAGAGAATATAATCAGTCAGTGGTGTAGGCAACAAATTAAATATGTGAATATTGACCTTTTTGACCTGTTGTTGATGTCTGCTGGACTAATAAATCCTCGTTGTTAAATAGAAGTAAAAACATCAAAAAGAGTGAAGCCGGTATAAAGAATTCAGGCGTCAACAAGGCTTCCTCCCCCCCCCCCCCCCCCCCCTCCGCCTCCTCTCCTTCCCTCGTATACTCTTTTCTGTAGCGTAAAGCGGTATACCTGGCTAAACCAGATGGTTCACTCAAACAGTGTACATGAAAAAGGTGTTTTCTGATTCAGAAGCCTTCCACCGGAATTGAACCCAACGAAGTCCAGTCCACATGTTTAGGATTCTTACTAAGTGGGTTATTTTCATTAAATATTTGTTTTTCCAGCATAAGATTTTTGCCTTTTCACAAAATTAAACGATTAAACGAAACGTCTAATGACTTGAGGATGGTTTAGAAATCGGTTTTGCCCAACAACGGGCATTAAACATCTTTTTTTGTAATCGGCCATTTCGGTGTGTATGCTTGCCTTATCGTCACGAAATCCCAAGCGCTTTAGGAGATTCTAAATACCTGCCTCATTTGCGTAATATATGCTCCTTTGATTGAAAAGTGATATCTAATGAAATCAGTGTTCAATGTCGCATAGCGAATCGTGGAACCGTGCAATATTTCATGATTTCTTTGGACTCTGTGCCATCAAATTTAGTCATGAAATGCAATCACAGCCTTTGCTACAGAAATGTTTTTCTTATCGAGCCGATTTACTCGGAACCTATACTTTGTGATTGCAGTCATTGCAATTGTAATTGCAGTTCCAATTTTGCAGCGGAGTCAATCGACTAGCGATTCAATGATAAACAAATCCTGACTTTCCTGCAGCTTTTCGTGTCTCCTACCTGAATTTAAAAATCCTTAGTTCCCCATCGCCTTTAGGAAAATCCACCAGATTTTTTTTCAGGAAATCGTGAAGTTTTGAGCTATCAAACGTTTGCTCCTCCATTCTTTCTCTGTCAAGTAAATAACTTTCGTGACAAGGCACTTTTAGTTTGACGTCAATTGGCGTTACATGACGTAATTTCATCACCCGTCAAAATATATGAATAGTGGGTTCTTATGTTCCTCTCTATCATTCACTATTCCACATCTTTCAAACACCGCGCGAAACTAAACAAATTTTTTAATGAAGAATTACGTTTTACCCTCAAAACCTTCTCACGTCAACGTTCATTGCCAAAAGATCAACGTGATTTGAGAGGAAATGAAGTTGATTAATGACTGTCAAAGCGTAGTCCACAATACCTTGCAGTCCTTTTCCTTAACATACAAAAAAGAATACCTCGACTGTCTCTGTAAATCGACATTTAATCACTTAAATTCAAGTTTATTTTAACACCGCATTTAAATTGCGCTTTCTTTGTAAACTGAGCAGAAATATATCTACAAAACTCAAAAACTGGTCAAGGAACAACTTTTAAATTTTACAATTCACTTAAATGTATATATTTTTTTTGAGGTTGTGGTCGTACTCTACGGTCCAGAATAAATATTTTTGTTGTAGAGAATATGTTCACATCTTTTAAAATTTTGGAAACAGAGATTGTTGAAATCCGTGTCAATATCGCCTAGGCCTGGTTCCACAGTCCACCCTCTCTGGTAGATCACAGTTCATTGTATCGGCACGGAGGAGCTGGGGAGGGGAGCACTTCTGACGGTGGGCTTTACCGATGTTGCAGATGATGAACCCCGCGCAGTCGTCAGGGTCTGGGTACGTACCACTTTTTCGATTTGCACAGAAGTCTGAACCAGCTTAAAAACAAAAACCAAAAAGCATGAGTGTCAGAAGTTCATATCTAACACAACTAACCACAACAGGACAAAGAAAATGTTTAAGTGTTGTTAAATAGGTCTTGCCTTTGTGAAGAGGTTCATCGACCAAAAAGTCACACCAAGACAAAGAACCCTACCTGCTCCTCCCCCAGAAGCTGTGCCAGGGGCTGTGACACCTCCTCCCCCTGTGGATGGTGATGGGAGAGGGGAGGGTGGGGGTGGAGGTGGAGGGCGAGGGGGTGGCTGAGGGGAGCTTGGACCACTGCCTTCACCTGGAACTAACACAAAGAATTACGTCAGAGTACTTTGCATTAAGTAACTTTAATTTTTACGGAAAAGCTAAACCCTAGCCTCACACATTTATTTATGGTTCCATACTTAAGGACATAAATTATTTTGCAGAAACCCCACTAGGTATCGAAAACACGAACAAACAAACCGAAGGGAAGAGAAACAGATAAGGAGTCACACAGACAGAAAGAAAGACAGACAAGCAGTGCGACAGAAAAGCTGGCAGTTAGACCTGGAAAGACGGCCAGAGAGAGAGAGACGCCGTTTGTTGGTGTTTTTGGGGTCTCGTTTTGCAGTGAGTCTAGCAAACATATGTTTCTCCAACATTCAAAATATTTCAAAAGTATTAAGTTATTTCATTAGCAGGAGAACATCAGCAACTCACCCATCCCCCCCGAGGGATACGGTGGTTTGTTTCCTTGACCCGCGCATTTGATACTTGATGGGCCGGCTGCAAGAAAGAAAAAACAAAAAAACGCAATGATGATAATACTAATAATCATAATCATAATCATAATGATAAAAATAAAAGCAATGATTATGGCAATAATAATGGTAATAATGATAATTTGTGAACACATAACTCTCCGACACATCGCTGTATATTATAGAAAAATTCACTACCTGAGGAGAGAAATCGATGATTTGTTTCGGAGTTTCGGCTAGCAGGTTTGACTTATTTTTCCTCTTTCAGCTCTCAGAAGTCTCTGATGATAATGATTACCCGCCACAAAAACTCGAAAACATAGGTGAGGCTTTTGAATTCAATCTCGTTGGAAAGCACAACACAGGATTTTATGTCAATCTTTAATCGACATTAAAAAAAAGAGGACGGATTGACACCCTATTTACCCGACCCCCACGCCTCACCCTAACATCGTACCTCCAGCTCCAGATCCAGAAAACTGCACATTACTCATTATATTATTATCGTTTTGCATAGACTGTAAGACCGCTTCCCGCTGCTCTCCCGTCACCGCCGTCACTCGTACAGTCATGGGAAAATCCACTTTACCCCAGCCATCTCTCACAAAGTGATTGTCACTTGTCCGTTTCAGACAAGAATATTTTCCGTTCTTTAAAATTTCCATCCCAGCAACTGGAACCCTTCAAGTAAAGAAAAAGCCATGCAAATACAAATTTTGGATTTTAAATGCTTTTGTTTTTAGCTTTCTTTGTACTCAGAAAATTTTTGGTAATTTTAGCTCTTTTGTGAATAGAATTAGAAAGATGGATAAGATAACTTTGGTAAAGAAATAGAGAAAGGCGGCCTCGCTCACCATGGAGTCTCTGTGGCTCAGTGGTAGAGCATTGGAGCGTGGAATCCGAAGCTCTGAGGCTCGATTCCTCATGGAGATTTAGAATTTTTTCTTTGTCCCACGCTCGTGACAACACGAAAAAACATCTTTCTCTACTACAGCTCTTTTATCCAAGAAAGATCTTTCTCTGGGTAAAATTCATCTCTAGAGTGCAAGTTAAAAGTACTTTCAGTCAAAAGGACATTAATTTTAAATCATCACAAAACACGAAAGAAAACGTGAAAACGGAGATTTATAACACAGATGTTCTTGAGAAGCACACAGTCAGAGAGAAAGCCTCATTAACTCATACCCCATTCAAACCAGCAAAACTTGTTTAGATAAATCGGGTTTAACAGAATGAAAATCATAAGTAGAAATTAAAAAACCGAATTTCAATAAGATTCAAGTAATCGCCAACTTTTAATTTCAATGTGCTACATATGAAGCCGACGAAAATCGGTTTGAGTAGCTTCTATGATGAGAAAATGTCAAACAGTTTTTAAAAAAAATTATCACAGTTGTCCTGCAAATCTGGTTGTAATGATAAAGGACTGAGGAAGGAAAAACTTACTTGGTGTTTCTAGCTTGAAGTTTAACATACGAAGGGTTACTTCCAGTGAATCGAAACATAATGTTCCCATTCTTTCCCGGGACAGTGGGACAGTCAATGGCTTTTGTTTCGATCTCCCATCTGCCGTCACCCGGGATGTACAGGTCATAGCCACCTGTGTTGAATAAAAAATGAGTAATCACTGATACGAAACAGCGTCTGATGATTTAGTTCGGTGTGGGTGACTCATAAAGTACCTATTTGCATTTTTCAGGTTTCCATGACAGTTACTTGGTCTCCATTTGTAGATTTTGGGTGTGTAGAGCCTTGGCTCAGGAGACGAAGAGGTGGTTCAGTAGTCTGGGTTCCAGCTCTGCTCAGTTCACCGCGTCGTTTTCTTGGGCAGGTACTTTAACCTTATTTCCCCTTTCTGTGCCTCCTACAAATCATCTTATAACGACACAAATCTAAACTACCTTTTCCACATCCGCCACACAGATCATGAACAACGGCTTTTATGACTCCAGTGACAGGATCTAACCCACTTCCTTTCCCTGAGCCTTTGATTTCCACGCACATTCCACAGCCAAGGGAGTTCTGGAAGTCATATGCACCGGCCGCTACTCGTATCCAGCCAGGCTGCGAGGACATTGGGGAGAGTGGATCCAAGGAGCATGCACCACCTCCGGGATAATCGCCATAGTAGGTAGCCTGGAAACGAGAGAAGTTTGTAGTTAAAGTAGCTTCGCTATTATACTGTGAATTTCTATACATGTGATTTCTGCCAACTCAATCGAAATTGTGAGACAGCGAATATAAAACATGAAATCGAGAAGAAAAAGTCAATGATGTTTTTAGGCATGTTTTGGACTTAACACTCGTTTTTGTTTTTGTTTCTTTTTCGTTTTTTTTTTGTTATGAGCTTCGATTTATCTTATTGTGGGCTACCAAGGCTACGCTACGTTCTCGAGTTGAGGATGGGATACGCACTCGCAGCAACGAGCTTATTGCTTCATTCTCTTTCGGTCATATTTTCTTTCTTGAATTAGCAAATGAGTACCATAATGTTTTGGAAATCGTTTGTTTATTGATAAAACTATTTCGTGTTTGTTTATTTCGCCGTAAAATGATATCAAATACCTCCAGAAAAACGAATTGTGTTTTCTTACCTCCGACTTAAAAGTCGCTTCATATCTGTTGTATATATTTTCAGCATTGGATACATCAGTGTCTCGTTTTTGAAGAACATGGTCCTTTAAAATGAGAAATAAAAATTGAAAGCAATCACAGGAGAGGTGATTTGAGATCGTTCTTTAAATTTTCTAAACGTGACAGGTTACCTCTTCAAGGGTGTCAGGGGAAATTTCCTCTACATCTGTGCAAGTTATTTGCTGGAAATAAAAGAGAAGTTTTTATAGATTCTTGATTACACTGTTATTTAAATTGCTAACCACTACTTCGAGTTAAAATTAGGCTCATCGCCTCGTTGAAAGCACCGTGCCAAAAATGAATTTTCACAAAAGTGATATACATTGTACGAACTTATAAACTACGGCATCCTTACCTTTAGACAAAAGCAAATCACAAGGACTGTCAGATGTCTGCCAATGTCTGCCATTAGGTTTATGTCCATCGAAACACTGCTAGACTTAAACAAACGCCATAAATAAAATTAATGGCTACTTATACTGTTTTCACTTTTGTATTGATAGCGTTCGCACGAGCTATTACCTTTACGGCGTCCAGAGTTATAATAACTTGCATCGAGTCAGTAAATTTAATTGCTTAGAATTGCCTTTTTTCTGTTAAACAAAGGCACTTAGAATACATTCAAGCCACAAAAAAATTAATAATTATCATATTTCATTACTGTCGCTTGGAACAGGTGATGGCACTGTAGATTTAATTGAAGTGTCAAGTATTAAACGACATGTTTAAACAAGCGATTAGAGTAATTGAAAGTTAAAACAAATCGTTCATTGTGAAACAATGTCTGTAATAAAGAAGATGACTAAAACGTAACAATATTCAGTCACAATACGAAAAACAGGAACCGTAAACAAACTCTAATAACAAACATAAGGATGAACCAACAGCAAAATTGAAAAAAGAAAACCCTACTATATCGGTTTGACGTCGTACCTCAAGGCTATTTTTAAAAAAATATCACATTTGAGACTTCTTCGGTTCTAGATTGCACAAACCCTCACATCGACCACGATACATGCATCCTATGTACTAATCACTTCAACGTAGCTTTCATAGAAAACTACTGCGGACTAACTGAAAACTTATCTTTTTCAGTCCTGAAAGTAAGATTTTCAGTCAAATACAACCAGCAACTCTAAGATAACGAAAAGTAATGAATTATGACAACAAAAACAAAAATGACAACAACAACCATGGCCGGCTTTCATTTGTTAAATATACTGATGCATTTGGAGAAAGCATGCAATTGGGTGATTCGATTTTCTTTTAATTCTGGCATGCTATAACATCTGAGAAATTTTTTCCCTTAGCTAAAAGATTGTCTTCAGGATTTCACAACTACGTGCTTCCCTCGAAACTTGGCTCTCATTTTTCAGACAATTATAACCCACCTTCTTGACTTCAGTATCGAATGTTCGCGGGAGTTCCCTAAAAGGTTTTGTGCTTTTACTTTTCCTTTATAGCAAATAAACGAACTTTCTGGAAAGGGTGCAAACAAGGGATTACGTGTACCGTGATCACACCGCTGACCGTCAGTTAACCGCCGGAAAGCCGCAAAAGACTAAAAGACTGGCTGGAATTGTTGAGAAGGATGAGTACAAAGACATTAAGGCGATGAGAACCAATCACATACATAAACATTGACTGTCACACCACAACACAAAATAAAAGTGCACTGAAATGAAAGGAATCTCGATGACCGAAAAAATCAGCGACCCAAATGCCAAATGAGACCTGTGAGATGGCAAACATCATTCTCTCTTGAAGAATCCACGTTTACTTGAAAAATTCGTAAATGCAGTGGATCCTAAAATTGAACCAAAAAGAACAACTGACAAACTGATCGCTTACCTGATTGCTTGTTAAATCTAAGATTATCGTGTTATGATTAAAACAACAATGAACCTTATTAAAGCTGGCGAATTTTTTAATTAGAAATCCTACTTTGTATCGTATTTGTTCTTTTACAATGGCACTTGAAATTCCAGTAAGCCACCTAAAACCACCAGAACTAATCAGATCATTGCTGTCATTTGGTTAAAATAAATATAAAAGGGTTTGAATGTATGTGAAATAATATCATCCAATATCATCCAGTCGCCAGCGAGAAGAAATTAAAGAAATTGCTTAAAAAAAGAAACCTGAAAAAAAACCTTGATAAAAGCGCTAGTAACAACAGAGCTACGAAGCCAAATTTCGGGATCGAAGCAAACTTTAGGGGCTTCTTCATTCCTGTGAAATGATTTGTTGACCTCAATTTAATGAAACAAGTTATCTTTGACCTGCGGATGGTAAACAAATAATGATATGATCGCAGGTAAGGTGTAATTTAAGAAATTGCAGAAAAGCAGCCGGGAAAAAAAAGACTCAGGCTTCGACAGAATTCGAACCCAGTAGAGCCCAATTTAGGTATCTGGAGGGCCTACCGACTGAGCTACGAAGCCAGACGTCGGGAGCAAAGGAATTTTTTCGTTTGTTATTCGTTCCTGTAAAGGAATCCGATTGCAATAAAATAATTTCATTCATGTAGTTAGCTCTACATTCGTATGTGCGTACATTAAAAAAACTTGACCTAATGTGCAGTTTCATTCAAGAAAAAATCGTAACTTTAAGTTGTTAGCCATGAAGGATTTTAAGATGCTTCTCTTAGGTCAGTTGTATCTTGGATGCTGCCAGACAGAGGTGGAGTTTTCTATACTAATGTCTGAGCACTTTGTAGGCTTCGCGCCGTCTGGCGGGACGCGCAATTAAGCACACAGTGGTAAAGGGCCCTTCCGCACTAGCTACCAGACGCTGACAAAACTTTTTTCCCTTCACCGAAAATCACATCAAAATTTTGTGTGTTGCATATATCAGCACCCCCCGGGGAACCCCTATACATAAGAGGGTGAGGATGCCGGGGATTTCGAAAACGACCCCTATATATATAAGTCTTATCCATGTGGGAGGGGCATCAACTGATGTCTACCCCTAAAAAGTAACAATTTAAACACAAAAAATTGAAAAATCCCAAAAATAAAAACTCCTTTATCGATGTGCTCTGAGGCTCAAGTCAGATGATTAAAATAGTCCTAGTAATGCTTATTTCAGGTATTTTATTGAGCGAAAAACACCCTACAAGGTACCAGCTAGGTCTCTGGTAGTCCACTGAAGTTTGAGACACCGTAAAAGGTACCAGATCACTGATTTTGACCCCTGAAAGGTACGACAAGCATCCTCACCCATTTCCGATTGCCTGGGCTCTTGGCAAAAGGTAATACCCAAGCGTAATATAATAACCGGAACAGCTCATTGGTCTAATAAAATCATAAATAAAGAAGGTAAGAGTGTTATGTTAGATTTTTTTTTTACAAATTGTAGTGATTTATGCCAATAAACGGTGGCGACAAGCAGGCACACCATGTATATTTTATAGTCGCTAGCAAGTAAATTTTGCCGGACTTTGAGTTCGTCTCACGATAGAACAACACAAATACACAAGGAAATTTTACAGTAACTTTATAACCATCCTTTTGTCTTTTAAAAGCTAGAAGCTCAGTAGATTCTGTCATATCGGTCATTGTTAATACTGTCTTTGTTTTGATGCTACTTTCGACATAGAAAAAGTACGTTGGACAGAAATATTCACCAAAAAGTAACTATTTCTTTGCCAGCTTCAATAATGACAGGGGATTAAGTTTAGATGATAAAACAAAGGATTACATTGACGGAAATACCGGAGGTCAAATGAATTCATTGCATGACGTCACACAACGCGGGTAATATTCACGGTGAAAATTTGCATATTTGAGCGGTCGAACGAAAAAAATCTTCTCTCGAAAACTAAAATATATTTTCACAAAAAAACTACAGCACAATTAGGACATATTGCGCTAAAAAATACGAAAGTAGGAGTGAAAGCAAGTTTTGGGTGACTTGCCGCTCTTTGTCTGATGCATGTTGACATTAGCTGTTAAGTTGTGCTACAATAAAATTTCTTGTTATATTGGTCTGCATGAGGAATGGTTCCTAATAGATTAAAGTTTACACGGCAACCAGGTGGACAATCAGACATGGTTTAATGCTACTCTGGTTTACAGATTTAATGAATGTAACCGAAGAAAGAAATAACGTCTTCGGTTACATTCATTAAATCTGTAAACCATGTCTAATGGTTCCTAATTCTATTTTCTTCGGCCTATATGGAAATCTAAACATGTGCTGATTTATTGTCTGAAGTTATTTTTTAATCATTGGTGGTAGCGCAATTAATTTGGATGGATTTCTGGAACAAAGTTTAAAATTGCACGTGCAGCGATATTTTTCACCTCATTCCGTCGCCGACGAGGTTTGCTTCTTCTCAGAAAGGTAATAGAGGCTAGTGAATTTTAAATCAATATTTCACTTTAGTGTTAGACTCGAGCCTGTGAACTCGGCCTTCGAGATCAGGCTCTGCGCCATACTATAGCAGGGTAGAGTTGAGCTCCTGTATTGCCTGATTGGTTATATATATATTGAGTAAGAAGAGACCTAAGCTAAAAAGAATTTAATTTTCTCTATTCGCCTCACACTTTTAATTTGCCCCAGAGTTGACAGGAACTGACAATCAAACGAGAAGGATATCTGACACACTTGCCGTATGTTGTTCATCCGTCGAGGGTCGATGTTCTAACAAGGCTACACTCATATTTCAGAGCTGATGTATCTATACTCATTCTTGGCTTTTCATTTTGACTAATCTGTGCTACAAGGGATCGTTCAGTTTTTCGTGTACCACTCTTTACAATTCGTGAACGAGTGAAAGTAATCGAAAAGGGGAGTACCCATCAGCCAGGGAGAAAGAAAGTTCATTGTAAATGCCACGTGGACCTCTTCATAACATGATATTAGTTTTTATTTTCCCACTCTATTAATTTGAATTTCAAATTTAGGGAGCTTCTTTGTTTACAACTTGTTCGTTGATCAATTGGGGAATCAAAGATATCCATGTACCTCTTAGTAAAATTCATTTACACACTGATGTGGAAAAATTAAGGAAAGATTCTCTGGAAAAAAAGCAAAGTAAACATGGTTGATCTTCAATTATTTTTGGTGTGATTAGTTGCTCCTGATCACTTCCGTAGAAAAAAAAGCAATAAAAGAACTTGAATCATTTTCATGTTTTCAGGAGCCTATGTCAGGGTTTTATACACGGGCACTCAAATATATCACTTCATTTGTTGCGGAACTTCGATCTATCACAGGCGCTGAACACGATCATTGTAAGTTGAAAACACGATTCGAGATGTTTCGTAAATCGAACTTAAATTTCGTCTCAATTTGCCTCTTGCTCCAATCCACCGCCTCTGCGAGCGTAAAACCCAAAAATTTCAGCGGCGTTAAGTCCAATTTCAGTAACAGTCACGATTTACCAGAGACAGCGGACCAAACTTTTAACATCAACAACTGGGGGCTTGGAAAAATTGAACGAAAACTGCTATTGGACATCAAAGCCAAAGTTGATTTATTCTTCTCCAAATGCAAAGGTATGTTTGAACACCTTAACATAGGCGCGTCGACGGGTAAAATTATTTCCATGGCTCTAGGAAAATTCTTACGCAGCAGCTTCATGATATTTGTTGCAATTGTCCCACTTCTGTTTATTGTTATTTCAGCGACCGTTTCAGAGTGTCCAAAAGGCTGGGTTTCGCGTGGAAAGTCATGTTACCTCGTGATCGACGTTCGAGTCTTGAAGTGGAGTGACGCGCGAAGAACATGCCAGAATTTGGGAGGAGACCTTGCCGTCATCAAATCTGCCGATGAAAATAAATTCATCTTGGACTTAGTGAAAAAGCAAAAGACAGTCACAACCTATGGCGTATGGCTTGGCCTCTACAGGAAAGCAGACAACAAGTTCTACTGGGTAGACGGCACTCCAGAGGCAGGGCAGTATTCTGCTTGGGCACAAGGGGAACCAAACTCTTTTTCCGAAAAGTGTGCGCACATGTATGGAGCCACGAGCCGCCAGGGAACTTGGAATGACAAAGGATGTAACATGTCGTATTCAAGCATTAATCCAGTCGTTCTTTGCCAGAAAAAGGCCAACTGAGGTAGCTGCCAATACCTTTGTCATTGTTTTTTATTAGTGCAGTCAATCTTTGCAAGATTCCATTAGAGATACAGATAACATGACGTATTGCCTGTTAAACCTTTGATCCTGTTGAGAATAAACTTGGTGATGGGTGAAAGCTGACGTGTGTTTCAATCTTAAATCCCTAGAGTATCTTTTCACTCATTTCAAATGGGATGGGGGAAGGTGACAGGAGAGAAGCACTCACTGAATCACATTCTCCTCGATCTTCCAAATTGAAAAAAATAATACAAACAAACAAAAACCTTAAATCCGCAGGTGAATCAAGAGTCCTTTCATGTTCACTGCAACCAGATCACCTCACTCGAAGTATCCATCTAGAGTTGACCCCGCTGTTTAATCTATTTATATGATTCGGAAGTTAAAAAATCGAAAAGTTTCATAATATGGCGATTTTTTTATTACATTTCGAACCGCAAAGGAAATTCCCGTAAGACGTGCCAAAAATTTCGCAAACTAAAACTCCTGCAATTTTGCACTGATATATTTGTATGAGCAAGCACCACCCCAGATATTTCTTTGTACTAATCAGTCCAAAGTCCTGCTTTGACTGTCACTGGTTTTTTGTTTAAATCATCCACTAGACTAGTATCTCTTATCACCTTGTAAGAATGAGTATGGAAAGAAAATTATCGCGATAGGAATCGGACTCGATCAGTAAGAAAGAAAACTATGTGTAGCCTCTAGTCACTCTGGAGCGCTGTCCACTAAACATCTTGGAACATAATGATTGTAGATATATGAAAATCATATATGTGCACTGCGGTGAAGAAACGCATATAAGAGATTCTCGCAGCCATGAACACTACTGAACTAGTATTTGAAATAAGACCTGAAAAAAATTCAGGGCCTGAATTCGTTTCTTCCCCGCAGTGCACATATATGATTTTCATCACTTGGATGGTTTATTTGGACCAAACATAATGACCTGCTCCCAGTTGGCTTGTTAGCTCAGTTGTCAGAGCGCTGCACCGGTGTCGCAGAGGTCATGGGTTCAAATCCCGTACGGGCCTGAATTTCTTTCAGGTCTCATTTCAACTACTAATTTAGTAGTGTTCATAGCTGCGAGGATCTCATATCTTAAAACATCTTGAACATCTTCCTAATTTGTCTGTGGCTAATTTCAGTTTTCGTTTTAAGACTTAAATGGTGGATAGATTTCCAAAGCTTATTGGTCAGTTTTGGTGTAGTTCTGTTGTGTAAAGAAACTCGGACTTACTGGCTGACTATATATCAAGTTTTAAGGGAAGCTGGTCTTGTCATGTTTACAACCAAAATAGCGTCGTAAAAATCATTCATCAAACTTGACTCACACTTCAGTACTGAAAGGAAGTTTTGTGCAGAACACACCTCCAACATCCAGGCGCGCTTAACCTGCGAGCAATCAGCTCAACGACCCGAACGGTTTTGTCGGCTGTCGGGATAGTTCGATTTGACGATCAAAGCGAGCCGAGGAGAGGTCTGTGAGGGGACTTGTTAACAGGCTGGGCCAGCGGCTTGAGGATCCTTGCACTCAAATGTGTCAGTGCCCAGTCAAGTATTCAAGTATTCTTAGCACTAAAAGGCACAAAATTTCCCGCCATGTTTAGTAGCGATTCAATAGAGAGTAGATAATTTGTGAATGATTTCTGAAGCATTAAAGTGAAGGTTTAAGGAAAAGGAATGATCAGTAGCATGGTATACCAAGATGCTACATCATTTTTTTCCAAATTTGCCTCGTCATTCCAAAATCTGAAATTTTTCAGCGAAGCTCTATTAGAAGGGTCCCAATGGGATGATGGTTAACGACTAACTTTTGTAACGCTAAAATTTCTCAATTTTTTACGTCTGACGGCAATTTTTTTTTTGCCAATTTTTGGCGAACTGTTAACTCCGTTGATACCTTCTATTCGATAGTCGAAATGATACTCACGGTTCAGTAGAGCTTTTATTTGCTATTGATATACTTGACGTACGACTGTGACCTCTGTATTTCGGTCAAAGGTAACAAGCCTCGGTTTCGCTAGTCTTTACGTTATTGAAAGCGGTCTTTCATTTGATGACATTACAAGATGAACACGCAAATCTCGCTCGTCATCCAACTATTATTTGGATCACTACTCGTGACTGTATTTCAGTTTTGAAGGACTTTCATACCGCTTCTTCTATTGTAATGGGAATTTTTAGCAGTATTATGGGTTTGATCAGTCATCTGATGACCCTCAGTGACATGCACTCTTGAAGCTCGATACATTTTCATTACTGCACAGGGCTGGTTTATTTTTTTTGAGAGAGAGGCAGCTGGACGAAATGAGTAAATGCCCAATATAGTGTTATATTCACGACACATTCTCGTGTAAGTAAGACGCAAAAGTTATTTAATTCACCAGGTGGTGTAAGGAACAGCAAAAGTACCATCTATTCAGCCCCCACGTCACACCTCTCGACATAGGCATGATTCATTGGCTAAACTTAACTCCCCGATGTCAAACTCGTAACCACGGTTAACCTTTTCACTGTTATGCTATAGTTATTTTTAAATATTCGTATATCATTGTCATCTGAGCCAATAATAAAGATGAATGCAAGGTCAGTTAGGAATCACATGGGAATTTGTAAAATCAAAATCACTCTGATCGTGCCTTTGGCGCGCTTTGCATAAATCGGTACATTTATTGCTGCGAAAAAGCGGGTAGATGTCAGAAAATCCCAACAGTCAGAAGAAGGAAAATATCTAACATAAAGTCTACTAGTTTTAGGAATGAAATTGAAATTACTACGTGGTATTTCACTTTTCGCTGTAGCGGAAACTGAATCATTTTCTTGTTCAAGTTCTAATTTGCTTTTGGTTTTTTTTTATCGTCGAGGTATATATATGTATGCGGATCATGTGCTTCTTATACGAACTCATAACAGTAGGTCAGTTCACTTGTTGAAGTCTTCGCATTACTTACTGTTGTTCGGACTGATATTGTCATCAAAATGTTTTGTAGTTGGGTCGTAGTTTTCATTTTTCAATTGGTGCGCTTTACTATTTCACGAGACGTCGAACTTCAAAGTTCCACCGGTGCTACGTACGAACTAAGTAACAAGCGTGACCCACCACGTTCTAAATTCGAAATGTTTGACTTCAAAAAATTTGGACCTGGTCCCCAAGTAGTGGAGGATACTTTTAATTTCAAGAGCTGGGGGTTCGGAACGACTGAGCGAAAAATGCTGATGGACATCAAAACTAGAGTTGATGCTCTCTCTGCCTCATGTAAAGGTATGAGCACATTTTGAGTTGAATTGAATGCAGCTCTGCGTGAAAAAATTCTGATTCATAAGCTCAATATTTTTGGGCGATTAAAACTTTTATTATCATCGTTGTTCCAGGGGCCGCTTCAGAGTGTCCTAATGGTTGGGTTCCGTTCGTGGACTCATGTTACTTGGTCATCGACATCCCAACACTGAAATGGAGTGACGCTCGACGAACTTGTCAGAATTTGGGCGGAGATCTTGCCGTCGTCAAAGCTTTCGTTGAGAACAAATTTATCTTTGAGTTGATGAAGAGGCAAAGGACAGTCACATATTTGGGTGTGTGGCTTGGCCTCCACAGAGCAGCAGACGACAAATTCTACTGGGTGGACGGTACTCCAGCGGAGGCATGGGAGTATTCTGCTTGGGCAAATGACGATCCACACTCTGTCACCGAGAAGTGTGCGCACATGTACGGAAACGGGAACAAGCAAGGAAAGTGGAGTGACATCGTGTGTGACCTGAACCAGCAGGCTCTAAGCTATTCTCCAGTCGTTCTTTGCCAGAAAAAGGCTAACTAAGGTAGCTGGTAATCCCACTTTGTTTTGACTACTTAAGTCGACTGTCAGAGCACTTCATTAAATAAACGGTTAATATGATGTATTGCCAATTAAAAATTTTGATTCTAATTAAAATAAACTTGGTGATGGATGAAGCCTGACGCACGTTTTCATTCAGCATAGTCTCCCACAGATATCTTCTCGTATATTCTTAAAACAGTGTAAGAAAGTGAGCGCTTGCCTTTTTTTTTTTTTATTGGACACTGGGTGGGGAGTGGGGCAGCTGGAGAAGGAGCGCTCATTTTGAGAACGTTAGTCCTCGATATAAAAAATTAGAAAAAAATTTAATCTTGTTAAGTTGAATGTCAATTCATATTCTCCGCAACCGGATCACCTCACTCTGGCAAAATATCCATCTACGAATCGTTTCTACCGTCTAATTTCCTTCATGCGGCTCGGAAACTTGGAAAATTGAAAAATATTGCGTTTCTTCCTTATTGATGCTTTCTGCTTGAGCAGCAGAAAAATTATTCATTTCGAACCCCGAAAAATTGTCTCCGCAAAACAAGCAAAAAAACCGTACGCATATACGCATATCTGCTGAGAGTATAGCTCTACATTTGGAATGTGCTTTTAATATTTAGCTTCAGTGGCAAAACAAATCAGGAACAATTAACAAATGAACCAGCTACCTGTGGAAAAAAAATCATCAAGTCTTGCATCTTCTTGCATAAACAATCCTTCTCAACAGAGTAATGAACAGTGTGAAGATGCTTTGAGAGGCTAGAGCGAGTCATTTTGGACTATCAGAAATTTAACATGTCAAACCAGAAATATGCAACCAAAATTCCCATTGAAATAGAAGAACCGTTAGGGAAGTCGGATCAATATCAGTATCTGGGCAACTGCCCACCTACCCCTCCCTAACCCAACATTAACCTTAAATTGTTGTCAATTGACTGTTGTTGAGTTAGGGGAGGGGTGGGTGGGCAGTTGCCCAGATACTGATGTTGATCCGGGAAGTCTCTAGAAAATGAAATGCCGCCGTGCATAAGGATCCAAACTAAGGCAGAATGACGAGCGATATTTTCGTGTAATGTGATTTAGTCAAAGAACGAAATAAACACATCTGAAAAAACCGAAAAACCGACAAGTCGGAAAACCGTGGATTGTTTCCTAATGAAACTGAAATACCGAGGAGATAGTCATTTGTAAAATGTCTATTTGGGTCTACCTGTATTTTCTTCGATAAATCTTTCCTTAGTCATCGATATCATTTCAACAGAGAGAGCTTCGCTCCATAATTCTAGATTTATAAATTATGAAGTAAATTTGTGAGAGCCCGGTGTACAACCAGGGCTGATGTTATTGATAACTCCTTTCCCTTTAACCTTAACCTTATTGTTTTAGAAAGATCGATGACTATGTCCACTCTAATTAATCGCTACTCAGTTTGGCGGGTAACTTTGAGGCTCTTTGTGTTTGGAATACTTGACTTTAGCAGAATTGACTCATTTCCATGTGTTTCTCTTTCGAGGATGCGGCGTTATTTACAGGCGGCGTTTTATGTTTTCAAATTTACATTTTTTGAATCTCTAACATCAATTGCGGTATAACGTTTGTTACCTCAAAGGGTAATATTTTTTGAGTTCCAGTTACTCTCTTGCTTGCTGCAATAGAATCGAAATAATCTGACTTGTAAAATGGATATAAGAATGCAGGATCTGATCCTCGTGTAAACGTCGCATTCTTCTTGTTGGTCGCGACATTTATCAGAGAGCGCCGTAGATGGGAGCGAAATTGTCTTTGAACCGGTCGCCCCAAGAAACACGCCGACCCTGATTAAACGCCGGAGATGAAAGCAAAATAACGACATACTGAAAAAAAGGAGAAAGTAATTACCATTTAGGCGAATAGCAGATTTATGTGGCTAGGTTAAAGTAAACGATTGGAAATTGTAGTGAGCAAAAAATAACGGAGGCTTACATCTCTTTACTCATTTATTTCATAATAATTACGATCACCGACGTGACTAGATAATTCATCGTGCGGATGGCTTGACTTTTATCTTACAGACGTTGTGACCGATTTTTAAACTTAATTCGCGCCAAAGACGTAACTGTTTCAGTTCTAAACGACTCTCCTTACAAACAATACTTGAGTCGTAATTCGGCCGTGCCTACGTCAACATTTTGGTTGATGTGTGATGTCCAACGCCATCGGTACCAGACATGTTATTTCATCTCTCATTCACACTAATTTCCTCCGTAGACCGTAAAGAATCCCTTCCCACCTTAGAGTATCGTCAACCAAGCATGATCTCAACGTGGTATCGACCCCTTTCAGAGACAAAGCAAAACACCCAACTCATGACTTAAAGCCTCCTGCTTTTGTCACCAGGCCAAGATGAATTTGTAATCATCAGCAGTTTTATGACGGCCATGTCTCCAACCAGATCCTTCGTACGTTACTTCGTTTGATTGTTGAGATGTTGTTGATAGGCTCACGTAATTTTCTACGGGATCCAACCTTTTAACACGATGGAAATATGATTTAAATGAAAATAAAAGAGAAGTTTCAGCAACAGAAACAACATTCGTTGGGTTGTTTAGTTGAACATTCTGTGGCGAACTTCTGACAGAGTGTACCATTTGAGTTCAGAGAGCTATAGCAGCTGCATGAACGGCGGGAGGAGGTTGTATTCTCGCCAATATCAGGCAAAAATGAAACAAATGCTTTTCGAAACGAGGCTCTAGACCAGCGTCCACCGCTGGCACCTGCTCAGTCCCAGTCCCAGTCCCCATAATTGAAATTCTGTTCCGCCGTTCTTGAGTTGTAATGTCCAGTAGAAGTTTTTGTTCAATCTTTCCTAGTTCCCAGTTTTTGAAGTTAAAAGTTTTGTCAACTGAACGTGTTGGTCCACGATTGTTACTCGTAACCGAAATAACACCAGTGGAATTTTGAAGATTGACGTTTAGTGGAATACCAGAAGTGGATTGCACTAAATGAAAAATGAAAATTATAGCCCAAATACAAAACATTTCGACGAAAAGCTGAGTCCAAACGCTCAAAAATGATGTAAGACTGCAACTGATGTACACTGATTCATTGGTATGTGGTCGTTTAAACATGCATATACTTTACACACACACACACACACACATATATATATGCTTTTGTTGATATGCGGCTTAGAAACAAAACTGGAAAGTTGACGCAGATAATTGGAACTTAAACAACAACATGATTCATTTTGTGACACTGTAATAAAGAATTTATTACATAATTCGGTATTTACGTTTAAAGGTTATAAACCACGTGACAATCATATGATTAAAAAAGCTCTCGGTAGTTATTTTAGAGAACTGTGTTCTTCTCCGTGTGGATGTTTCATGGGAGAATTTAGCCTTCCTCTGACTTGATTAATAGCCAGACTGCTGTCACTGAGCTGGCAGCAATATTAATAGATCCACCGATTTGTGCAAAACAAGCTGATGGGAGCATCAGAATACTTTTTGATTTTACAATTCTTGAGCGATTCCTGAATGATCTCGTCCAAGTAATGGGCTCCTGCCTCGTCCTATAATATCTTCTACTAGATCAACTGTTCACAATTTTAATTTTTTATTTTAATTGAAACATTCTGATGGCACAACCAGAATAAGTTTTGATTTTTACGAATTCTTCGGTGATTCCTGAATGATCTTGCCCTTACATTTATTATTTGGCTCAGCTGACAATGATATAATTTTCCATATCATACGAATATTTAGAAATATTGCAAAACATTGATAGGGATAACTTGTTTGACATCGGAGAGCTAAGTTTAGCCAATGAAACATGACCATCCATCCAAAAAGAAGAAATGAAATAAAAATCTTCGAAACTGAAATGCCGACGTGAATAATTATCCAAATTAAGGTTAAACAATGAGCGATATTTGTGTGTTACGTCATCATATGAAAGACTGCTTTCAAGCAAAAACACATCGAACCATTGCGACAGCTGGCGAAGCCGTTCATCCCGCAGCGCTAATGAGAGCCTTTCGCATGAGATGTGTGCTTAGCAAGACAATTAACTTTTCGTAAATTTCCTAGTCAGCCATGGCACAGATGATATGTGATACGAGCCTGATGATTTATCTTTCGACGCGTTTTAGGTTGTAAACATCACAAGACCAATTTCCCTCAAAATGTAATTTATAGTTAACAAAAGTCTTATATTTTTGCTTTATGCGAGAGAACTTCGCCGAAACTGGTCATTGAAGTTTGGAATGATATTCACCATTTAACTCTTAAAACTAGAAATCAAAATAGTCACAATGGCACAATAAAGGAAGCTCTCAAGAGCTTTTGACAGCACTCCCAAGAGTGACGAGAGGCATAGTTTTATTCTTACTGATAACGAATCCTGTCAAGAGTTTTTTTCTTTCTTTATTTGCAAGGTGATGAGCGATAATCTGGTACAAGATTTGGATAAAAAGCGGTGGATTGAAGCAAGAGGCAAATTAAGACGAAACTTACAATGATCGTGTGTAGCGCCTGTGATAAGAGTCGAAGGACCGCATCAAATGAAGTGATATATTTGAGTGCCCGAGTTCAAGGAGAACCTACTCCTGAAATCATGAAAGTGATTTATGTGGTTGTTCTATTGTGTCTATTCTTCGGAATTAATTAGGAGTGACAAGTCAGACCAAAAACGTTTGAAGATCACTGAACCTCGTTTACTTTTCTTTTCAAGAGGATCTTTCCTATGTTTTTGCCACATCTGTCTGAAGTTGGATTTTAGTACTGAAGTGGTACGGTGTTCAACTTCCCTAATTAATCGACACACAAGTTGTAGCTAAATGCAACAACCCATTTACAAAACTGAAAAATTGTTGATGAACATTGCTCCAATTTAAAGCTTGTCTAAATAAACAAAGAAGCTCCTTAAATTTGAAATTCAAGTAAAACGGCGTAGGAAAAAAATGCAAACTAATAATACGATACGAAAAAAGGTGATGTGGCATTTATGATGACTTTCTTTGTCCCACACTGATGGGACGAACATTGCGTCTTCGAGAATGGCTCAACACGGTTATCATTGTTAACCGATCGCATTTTTATCTTGTATTGAGGTTTTTAGGCGAGGATTATTTTTTCAATGTTTGCTCTCTCCACCTTAAATTTTTGTACCTAACCAAATAAGTGGAATGACTCAGAGAGGTATTTGACTATATTTAGCAAGGCCAAAGTATTATCCAAGTATTCTTTTCAACAGGAGTCGTTCAGAACTGAACTAAGAAAGTATTTTTGCACAATTTCGACGCTGGCTTTTATTGTTGTCAAAACGCTAGTCTGTAAGAAATCAGACCATCCGTTTAGTAAATTTTTAGGGCGTATTTCTGATTACGCCGCTGATCGTATTTGTCATGAAATAAAGAAAAAGAGAGATGCAAATCGGCTCCTCCATTGTTTGCTCGCTCCAGTTTCCAACCATTTCCTCTAACCAGCCACACAAATCCAGCGCTGTTCACTTAAATTTACCTATACCACTCTTTTCAGTCCGTCTTGATTTTGCTATCACCTTCGGCGTTTAATCAGTAGTACATGTATCTAAGGACGACCGTTTTAAACACAATTTTGCCTCTATTTATTTTATATATTTTAACGTCGCCCTTATGATAACTGCCGTGTCCAACCTGAAAAATTCTTCGTTTACCCGAACTATTACAACGAAAAAAACGTTTATATTCAGCATCTTCTTTTATATCCATATCACATTGGAGCTTAAAACAAACTACTTTCCTAATGATTTACCGTTATTTATGAACCGGTTAGTAATTTCAGAAATACTACTTCGAGTGAATTTGAAATAAACGCCACCCTCGAATACTCACCACTTTTCATTTCACGCTCTATGAAACGTCACAGCGGAAATAGAAAGATGGTGCATCTTACGGATCCGTGAAAAAAAAATTATTGTAAAGGGAACCAATAAAGCACCCGAAAACTATATGGAGAGCAGGAAATCATTAACATTGCAACGAAGAATAGAATTTCATGCTTACTTCATTTTAGCACCCGTTAGCTATGGCTTCGTTTGGTATATATTGACCAAGGTCAAGATGGCTGGATTGGCAAGATGGGCTCATCTTGCCCCCTCGGGTAGCCAGTCAGAGCACTGGATTCGCTTCATATTGCCCACGGGCCTCGTCAGCAATATTAATAATAATAATGATAAATATTTGTCTTGCGATTCCGTATGTGTCAAAACGTAAATCTAATCAACCCATCGTTCTGTCAAGGTATTTGTGAGGACTAAGCCAATTTAAAATGTCCAGACTACCATTGTGGTCATTGTATGCTACTCAACGGAATACTTGACTATGACACTCCATGGCCACACATAGTACATAGGAGACACTTTATGGAACCAGTTAAGGATTCGTATCACTTAAACTTATTAACACAGGAAGTTACTTGGAAGTGACTTAAAGAGAGCACACGTCAATGAACCAGGCCAGCCATGGGCTTGATTTTCACCACTTTCAAGGAGCATGCGGAGGGGAGAAGCATTTCTCAAGAAAAAATTCATAATCAAGTCAAATTGAGCCTCAGTTGGCCAGGACTTGAGCTATAACCCTATGATCCAAAGTTATGCCTGTTGTAAAAATAATCATGATTACCCACCCAGTCAATATTATGTAACATATTATATTATGTAACAATCTAATTATATTATATTATGTAACAATCTAAATTATCCCTTTAGCACCTAAGGGTGACTAGCATCTAATTTCTCCTCACAATATCACCCCTGAAACAAACATGAAAGTCATGAGAATAGAGGAGGTGATCACCAACTTAAGCAGCTCTTTATTGTTAAACAAATTCTCCTTGTCAGCCTCATTGAAAATGTATAGAGAACAGTATGGAGAATATGCATTCAGATGTTATGGTGTAAAGGTTTATACACGCATTTTGATTGGTTTTAACATATGGTCTTTTAGGGGACAGATGCGTAGATGACATCACCATTATCAATATTTTGCTTGTTTATTATTTAAAACACTGAAATACAACCTATTCTGTAGTGGGTGTGTTCAGTAATAGATCACAGAAGACATCAAAATAAGGAAAGAAAATTACAGACGCAATTGGCTGCACCTTCACTTTTGGAAATGCCCCCTAAAAGAAATCTCCCAGCAGAAAAAACTTCTTTATTACTGTTTATTCTATTACTTAGGCATTACGATTTGCACACAACCTTAGTACTCACAAACTACAGTGATTCTCTCCATATGCTCACTCTTCACAAGAATGACCTGTCAATCACACTGGGTACCAGCTTCCGTCAACACTTTTTCAGTTCTGATTACATTTCAATGTCGCCTGTGATCTATTACTGGACAGACACAGGGTAAGATGAGGTCTATTTGTTAAGAAGTTATTGGTTCCGATGAAAATCACATGATGCTTAAAGTAAAGGATGTATCAAGCTATTGCTCTTGGATGGGTCACTATCCAGTATTAAGTTTTCTGACATATTGCATTAATTTGTTCATTCAGACAAGGCTCAGACACAGGGACTTAATATGAGTTACACTGATGGCTAATTTCTCAAGTGAGTCTGACAGATCACACAAGCCAATTAGAAAATTAAAGCAGCTTTGAGACTGACACCTAAAGCTTTACATATGCCACCGCCAGTCTATTTTAAGGATCCATTCAACAGTGTGTCACTGCTGGAGGAAGATTCTTATTAAAATTACTTTTAAATAGCATGCATCACTTTTGCCCATAACTTTGTACTCAAATTTATTTCCTGTTGAGTCTGTGAACTCAATTAATACATGAAATGAGACATAATATTGCATGACATATAGTGCTTTTAGCAGGAAGACCTATTCACAAAGTCATCCGGTGGTTTTGGTTAGTATGAGCAATGCAAAATATATTGTGATCTTCTCAGTACATGCACCTAGCTTTTATTAAAATCAAATTGCAGACCTGACTGTTCACCCAAGTGTAAAATAGGGGTCAGTAATTATTGCTGTCATTTGATTTCAACATACTGATCACACAATGACAAAATGAAGTATAAGGTTCTAAAAATATGGATGAAGGGAGAGCCACTGAACCATGCCAGGCCGGCCGGTTTAATGTTAACAATATTCCTGAGAGGGTCACCATCATGTATTACTTAAATCATTACGTTAATTATGGCAAAAACAGCCACATAGTCTGGTGGGCTAATTTTTTTATGTTGGTTCCCTTTTAAAAAGACCACAATTTCCTTCAGAAAAGAATATAAATAGCAAATTATTTTTGTCTCCACTTTCCTTTTAACACAACAGGAAATTAATGTCTCCTTTGTGGTCCGCTTTGAGCGCATGATTGAAACGTGGTCTTTAAAAAAATTATAAATAAATATTTCATGACCAATTATATTATTTCCAACAGTGATATCACTGTGATATTTTCACGGTTGCTGACAAGTATCTTCTCAAGAAAGTTACGTCAAACCCGAAACTTGAGAATCAAATAGGAAACAGCTGAAGCGTGTTACTGTATTACATCAAAGTACAAGCGCAACCTCTGAGGTCACCTCTTCTTGAAGACGTTGGTGGTCTTAATCCGCTAATAATTGCTTCATCAAAAACGGATTTCAAGTTCTTCTGAGTTACTGCTGAAGTTTCAATATAGCAAACGACCCCTGCCTTCTTGACTAGGCTCTCGGCTTTCTGCGGCGTAATAGGTCCTTGTCCAAGGTCAGAAAGGCGTATTAGTTCTTGAACGTTCGCTCTCAAATCACAGTGTGTTCCTACAAGGATGACAGGAACATTTGACGAATAGCCACGTATTTCAGGGAGCCATTTTTGTGCAACATTTGCAAAAGATGTCGGCGAAACCACGGAAAAGCAAACAATAAACACGTCTGTTGATGGATAACAGAGCGGCCGGAGAGAGTCAAAGTCCTCCTAAAAATTTGCAAAATAAACAATATAATATTCAACATAACAACCAGATAGCGCATGCAAATTAAGACACTTTCGCAATGTAAACAAACTGTTTTAAACTTGGTGTTCTTTCAAGACGAGGCAATTACATCACGCTCCTTGAGACTTGTGTGAGGTAACTTTGATCGGCATATTTCTTAACTTCGTTCAATTGCTAGCTTAATTGAGCATTAAATCAATATACAACGAAAGAATATGTTTCATTGAATCGAAACGGTTTGATAAATTATTAAAAAAGAAACACATTGCTTACTGTGCTAGTAATTAAACCCCTGTCACGAACCATGAATTCACAAGGCATTTTACAAATTTTAACGCAGTCTTTTATTTACTTAATTTTATTGCAAATAGAAGAATTACGACATAAATGCAACAGATCTCAGGGAAAGTAAAATCGAAATAAATAATTTCGAAACAAAAGCGACTTACCTGTCCTGCAGTATCGCAGAATTGCAATGAATAGGGCACCTTATCGACTTTTACCGACACTGAAATAACAACAAAATAAATAATGAATGGCACGAGAATTCTCTTCACCGCAGAAACATGGCCATCAAGAACTCATTCGTAACCTCGACCTACCACTGTAGTCGTCAAAAGCCGTCGGAATATAATCGTTGGGAAATCCGTTCATAAGATAGCTTATAAGCAAGGAAGTTTTACCAACTCCGCCGTCTCCCACGATCACACATTTAATGACACGGCTCTCGGGTTCCTCCATGAGTAATTTTCTCTCATTGCTCTCCATTTCGAACGCGCAGCCGGTAACATACGTGTCGTGAAAATATATTGTTGGTTCCTTATTCAGCGAAAACGGTTTAAATATAAGGAAGCTACATCAGAATTCAAAGGTTGCGTTCGTGGTAAATCGGGAGCTAGCGGAAGTGATGTCATTATTGACATTGGGGTTTTGATTGGCTAGTTGGAGATAAAGATAAGTCTTGGTTTCCGGTGTTGTTTTAACCTTTCTCCTCGAGGAGATAGTCAGCTTGAAAACAAGTCGAAACAAGGTTTTTGTTTGAATTTAAAACAACTTCATTACTTATCTTTTAAATGAGATAAAAAGCGTATTATATCCAAATATTCGACTGTAAGGTTGCAGAGAGGAATGATCAAATTGTCAATTGAAGCTTTTTAATAGGAGTGGAACATTTATGCAAAACAGAAGTTACCTGAGAAACGAATAGCCTGGATTGATTGCTTGCCGACATGCCGTCGAAGCTAAGAAAACCGCACAATAAGACCACGTGCCACGCGTGCGAAACTGAAAAACAAGATTTCCATTGTGCTACAGGCAAAACATCCCAGACATTTTTCTTGTGGAAAAATTATATGCGCTCAAATACATTTTAACAGGACTTAACTGAATCTTGATTTCGCCCTCTACACATAATGACATTTCAATCGAGAAGAGCACTATGCGCGGCAACTTACCTCTTCCCTATGCGGTAAAAAAGTAGACATTTTCAACATGCGTACAGGGAATAAGCTTTGCAGCAAATCAATGTACATTTAATACACGCACCAGTAGTTGCATTCTTGGTTTCGAACGAACTGGAAAATAAAGAAATCACATTGAGCTTGGCGAGTCTCAAGGGAGAAGCGATTCACTGATAAAAATTCTTAAAGAAAAATCAATCGGTTGGCTAGCAATCCTGATTTTTTTTTATCAAAGAAACCTGCTAAATGGCATTGAAAGTAAATGATTTCCATTCAACCGGTCTAACGACCTTGACCCAATAAAATATTCCCTCGAGGGCAAAAAGGTTGTAAACAACCGGCTTAACTATTTCGACTGTCCCAAAACTACCTTTGCCTAATGGTAAAAAACAAACTTAACTCTCTGATGTTTTTTATCACTTTCAGTGGAACCTTCAAAGATACTGACATTCATTTCACCCAGATTCCACGTAAATGGCCTTTCGGAAGCCCTTCTTCAAACCGTGACGTTGGCGAAATCTGTTATCTTTTGTAAGCCAATTAATAACCCAATCCTAAAATCTTATTGCTAATCCGTACTTTTCTTTAGATACTTGTATAAGCTTATAAAGAGAAAATCTTAGCTTATTATGCCCTAACCGACTCAATCTAACTGGAACAACAAAAAATTGTTTTTATTTTCGCGGCTGCATTTAGTTAGTGGCAAACGACTAGAAACCAATTTAAACATACTAATTAATTAGTAATTAATGGTGCGAAACTGCACAAAGCGAGAACTGATCTATCACTACGAAAGGCATGAATCTTTCAAAGCTGTTGTGACAAATTGACTTCTTTATTTAATGGGCTGGCCAAACCCGGAAAAAAAGGGCCCAATCTGCTTATTTCTACCGAAGACCCAACTGTTCAGCATTTACATATGCAAGGCAGAACTTTTCAGACACGCTAATATTGACTGATTTTAAAAGACAGACAACCCGTTGAAACCGAGTCAAAAGCATACCTATATCTTTTAAAGCCAACCTTTCAAACAACCATCTTCCCTCACGCACCTCCCAAATCAAATCGTCGTAATGAAGAAAAGAAAATACGGTACAAAGATATATTCACTTGAATCAAGGGAAACTTGACGATTCTATTACTTCCTCTTGTCCGAATGCAGCGCATGTGCTAGGGGGGGCATTAATCAGGAAACTAGAGTTTGTCACTAGGTGTCTTTTTTACGTTTCGATAAGGTACGTGACTGAGTAAGTAAATTACTTGGTTTTAATTTAATTGCCTTGATTAAGGATGGCCTGTTTGGGTAGAGTCGCGTAAAGGACACCACCCGATCTTATTCTTCTACGCGACTCGACCCAATTTCCCACGGGTTTTTTTTCTTTTTTTTTTGGCACCGCCGCTGCTCTCGCGCCGTTTACAATTTTAGCTCCGTTTCATTAACTGAATGCCTGGAACAGGGAGACGACGGAGTTTGTAAAACTTCCTTGCTTATAAACTATCTGATGAACGGATTTCTCTCGTACTTGAAAAGCATAGCTTTTCAAATCAAAAAATTACCTTTGAAACAACCCTCCTCCATCACTCACCTCCAAAACAAAATGGTCATAAAAAAAAAACAACAACAACAACAAAAAAAATAAAGTAAAGCATGAGCTTTCCGTTACTACCTGAACGCCAGCTTAACTGTAACACTGATTTTGTATGACACAGCTGAGAAACTAATTCATATTAAGACTTTTTTGTTTTCTCAAAACAAAGGAAAATGTGTAGAGTGTCATCTGGTTTAAGTTTTACATCTAATTGGTTGAAAACATGGCAACGTGGAGTTTCCCAAACAAGTATGGTTCAACACGAATTTTTTAAAAGTTTTCTTCATCGCTGAATAACGTACCGAAATGTGCCGCATATTGAATTAAGTATAAGCTCAATAGACATCATTGAATGAGGAAACTCTTGGAGAAAAGTTATTGCAAATAAATTCCGCAAGTTAAATAATTTGTCAAATTTCTAGTTCATTTAATTTAAAAGAAGAATCAATCTACTTTCTCCGTTTCTATTACACTTCGTACATAAATGTTGGTAAATGAAGGTAAAACGCTTAACCAACTAACTGTTCTCTTTTGGCTCTAATTAATCCACATTTAAATTGTGGCCATTATTGAGATGCGATTCTCCTAACCAGTTCGAGACCAAGTTGTACACAAGGAAAAGAACTGCGTTGTGTGGAAACGCTCGTAGTAAGCATGGTCCTAGGCCCGCGTAAAAACTTTTCAAGCCTCCTGTCTTGTACGTTTGAAGAAAACAATCCGCAGTTCCTTTGTAGATAAAAAGTCCTTTATTCCCATCTGCCTGCATACGAGACTTAATGCCGTCAAACGGAAAAGTGGAGAACCAGCTTATCGTTCCAGCAAGGCCTCCTGCGAAAACTGTAGCCAGAGGTTGCATGTCAATGCGTGACTTTCTTTGTGAGAGCGCATCCAGAAGGATCTCGTATGATGCAAAGTAAACGGCAAAGCCCGGGATATCCCGGAAAACAAGAGGTGTAACTCCTTGGAAAAGTCCCCTGCTACCGGCCGTCTTGTAAATCTTGCGGATGCAATCTAGAGCTCCGCGATAGTGCGAAGATTTCCCATGCTTTCCTAACGAAACTATAGCAAAACGCTTGTCATAATTTTGAAACAAAAGCAAAAACATGACTTAGCTCGTTATATATATCAATATTGGCATACTGCCTGAATTGCTGAAATGAAATCTCTGCTCGATCTAAACCTTTTATTCCCAGAAGTGATTAACATGTAACTTCTGTTGGTGACTCTGAATGCTATCCGTCAAACAGTTCATAAGAGCAGACATGATATTCAGCTAGCAGATGTAATCTTCGCGTAAAACCAAATTCTCTTGTCTAACTGCAAGGAGCTGTATAGCAGTCAGTCAGAAGGAAAGCTAATTGGATCTTGGGTGATAAAGGATTAAGTCGAACTTCATCATGTCGAGCAAGTTCCTCTGAACACTTTTCCCATCCCCGACATGACTTTTCATCAAAGACATGAGTACAATTCCACAAGTTTCTGCATTACCATTCTTAGCAGTTCTCAAGTTCCAAATAAAGATTGAAAGTAAAAACGCGCCAAGTGTCTAAAGCGCTGGAAAACGCAGGAGATCAGGTCGCGATTGGCTAACGTTTAGCATTTGATTGTATGAGATAAATGACGTAAATTTCTTGACCAATCAAAAAGCGAGCTTAAGCAAAACTATTTAAAAATTAATTTCGACAACGATTTGAAAATAACTCAACTAGCTTGTACCTTCGGTTTGCATCTGTAGTTTGATCTTGATAAGTTCCATAGGACTCACCACCCAGAGCTGAACGGCTCCCGAGGCAGCCGCGGCCACACAGACGTGAGACAGCGCTGGCTTGTCCCCTTTCTCGGATGAGAACATTTTCAGCACATTACCATATACTCCAAATAAAATGGCGTTCTGTAGGGCCACAGCAGCAAGAGGAGGTGCCATGCCTTTGAACAAACCGAATACCTAACATGGATCAAGATAAGATCGAGTAGGAAAGTAGAAAGGAAAGAGGAAAAACATAACCCCTTAAGAAAACAAGAGATATACGACAATCACCAGGACAATGCCTATGAGGACGTCTATTAATACACTTAAGCATATGACCTGCGGTGTTATTTAAGGATTTCCTGCCCTATGAAAAGGTGCTAACTGCACATGTGTAAAAAATTATGATAATTTTTTTAACGTGTGTTAGATATCACCAATCATCTACGGAAACGTCACTCACTGACTTATGGCATAAAACGGAGAGAAATAGTGAACGGCGCAAAAGCAGCGGTAGAGCAAAAACGAGGAAAGCCCAGGCCGGGTGACGTTGAGAACTTAACACGATTCAACCCAAACCTTTCTGTTTTTTAATTTCACTCCTCCGCTCTCATCGCGCCTTAGTTGCTTGAATAAGACTTGAAGAGAATATTCAACGAAGCTCTCACCGTTTCATGTTTGATGATATTGTAAAAACAGGAAAACGATGTGGTGACGGCTGGTTTTCTTCCTGAAGAGAGAACTTGCATTCTCACCTATGAATAATATGAGGTCCATTATATATTTTTGAAATAGCTGTAGAAATTCTAGTGATCTCGCGCGCTCATTGGTCGAGAGCCATTGTCAATAAGGTTTTATAAGATAAGTTCAATTTTACAAGCATTTTGATTTCTTACTTAAGATCTGTTAGAGGAAAACCGAATCGCTGACAATGCAGGAGATTTCCACCACCCTCCCCAGCTCTTAGCATAACGCCATATTGAACTGTGCCGTGGGGTATGGAACCCATGGAAACTGTGTTTCTCGCCTTACATTTACATTTGCGTTTGCGTTAACCTGGTTCACACGTGTAAGAAGCGAACGCAAACGCAACTAAAAGTGCAAGAAAAAATATTTTTTTTCCATTTCTTACGTTGACGCTTGCGTTCGCGCTTGCATTCCAATTGCATTAAGGTAGTTCACACAAACATTTCCATGCATTTACATTTGTGTTACATTTGCATCGCACGTGTGAACCAGGCATTAGTTACTCTATCGGAATCGCGAAGGCTAATTAAAGTTCAAAAAGGCCACAATGTTAATACTTATTAGCCTGGATAGGCCCAAGGTTGAACACGCGTTTCACTCACCTTCACAGTATCCAACGGTTGTGTGACAATCACTCCAGCGCATCCTGCAGTTTAGGAAAGAAAAATATAGGAAAAAAGAAGGGTAATGTGGTAAACCCGTCGTATTCGATATGTACAATAGAACGATGCTATACGTGGTATAATAAACATCGCTGGTGTGCGCTTTCATATTTGAAGCTTCTGCGATAAACGAGTCACTCTTTTACTCACAATTTCTCAATTCTCTGCTTAACTAACAGCCGTCGCGTGATCAGAGTTCCTGAATACGTCAAAACCCATAAAATTTCATTATTTTTGCCGCGTGCTATGCACATGCTAAACGAAACCAACTATCACCCGTACTTTCAGCGCGTAAAAAATGGTGACAGGTTGGATGGAGTCCAAGTCGATTATACCAGACTTAAAATGCAAATCTCGACCAGAAAACGTACAACACGCGTAAAAATTCTCGCCTCATGTGAATATTAGGGAGTTTAAGATGTCACTACGGCGACAGCGACGTGTGGTAATATGTTACTGAAAAAACGTAATTTATTTTCCTCTAAGATTTTCTCCAATAGTTCGATCCGTTTCTGACGGTGCGACATCTTCACTTCGGCATAACATGTGAATGTGGTGTCAAGTTCAAAGTAAAAATGGGACTAGATTCAGTTTTTAGATTCGGATTTTGTTGATGTTCAGAATAATCAAGGTCTCAGTAAGGCATAGGATAACATATAGACTGGACTACTTTTTAAGACCATTTTTTGGGACCACTTTATCGGGAGGGGGGGTAGAGATAGACCTCTAGTATTCAGGCGGGGTGGGATACTCTCTATGACTACTCAGGAAAAGGTAGGAGGCAGACTGTTGTTGCTCAGGGAGGGAAGATTGCTTTCAACGTTTGTACCAACAATGTTTTCATAGTAGAGGTGTAAACGTTGAAATTGCAATAGCGCTGGTGAATACCATGCCGCTAAATTAAGGGCTAAGGACCGGAAATTTCGCGATCTCTTTTTTCAATTAAGATCAATGACAAAAGGTAGATGGAAAAAATTTAGTAATGATATACTGAAAGGGAAACGTTAAGCAACTGGTGGATGATTCGTGACAACCAGTGAGTATTATTTAGCACTGGAACGAGTCAACTTAAAAGGCACATGCGTGAATCAAGAGTGGATGATAGAAAACGGGAATTGGCGATATTTTCAATAACAATTATAGTCCAATGTTCAGATGCCAGCTTCGCATTCGCATGACAAAAAAAAAAAGAAAGAAACGCCACCACTAAGCGCAAAAATTTTAACATAAGAAATAGCCAGTCGGAAAACCACTCAAAATAATTTGTATGAACCAGTAATAAAAAAAAAAAAGAACATTAATCATCAGCATTTGTTGATAAAACTTCCCCCCACCCCTCCCTGCGTATTAGCGGTTCGTCTTCTTCCCCTCCCCGTAACAATAGTCTGCCTCCCACCCTCCCTGATTACTGATAGACTCATCCCACCCCTCCCTGAGTACTGATGGTCTGCCTACCCCCAATAAAATGGTGCAAAAAAAGAGGGTCCAGAGGATGGTCCAAAAAAATGGTCCCAAAAAATAGTCCGATAGTCCAGGAGTCCAGGGGTCCAATGGTCCAGTCTTGCTTTTGTCCTATGACGTCTCGGTAACGCATGGTTTTTAGTCTCGGCCATCGATCGGCTTTGGCTGCTAACCCCTACCTCGACCTCAATTATTCTGGAACAATATAATATCTTTTTTCTTATTTGATCATTAGTTTGGTCAAATTTCCGCACAGCCCTGTACTATTGTAAAACAGATCTGTTTTCCCAATGGCAATGTATTGTATTTGTCATTGTTTTCTCTATCCAAAAACTGAATGCATAATGTAGTATGGGGCTGTGCGGAGATTTTACCATTAGCTTCGATGCGTTCTCATTAAATCTTTTGTTTCGCTACGTTCTCAAGGTCGTCATCGTCGTAGTGGTTTCCTTACAGTTCCTTTATATCAAAGCAACTGTCTACGGAGAGGTTTCGTGGACGAATTTACATCAAGCCTCGCTGATTTATATCAATAATACAAAGTAATTACTTCCCGGCGTCTGTTCGATTCTTTACTCCATACAAAGTGGGTTTGAGTAAAATAAATCATTTTCCCTTGATTTACCTGCGCACCAACCGGCGATGAATTCACGTCCAACCTCCATCTCTCAGCATTTGAATAAATAATATGTGAAAATAAGATGCTTCCAACGTAAAAGGACTGGTTTCTAACGTCTGGAATGCCCGGAGCAATATTTGACGAGGGTCGACATGGCAAAAGTAAGTGCGCTTTGATTGCAATCTTCTATCCTTCTTGCGACGAAAACACCTTCTTGGATTCTATAGACAAAATATGAAAATTAAGTTATGGCAAAGTTCGACTAGTATCGAGGCCATCTTTTTCTTTTTCAGTCAAAAACTCGCCTGTAACATTTAACAGCGGAGCTCGCAGCGCGCGCAACCTCCAAGAGGGAGCTCTAAATCTTGAATCACGACAGATTTTGGCGAAGACATATTCAGTTACTAGGTGTATACGTTTGCCTTTCAGCCTTATTTCAAAGAACTATTGCTGATCTGTTCAGTTTCAAGCTAAATTTGCTCTAGATTGCCTCGATTTTCCCATTTTTTTCATGTGAACACTTAATGAACAAAATTTCCCTTTACTCCTCGACACCCCTCATTAAATGATTCCTAGACAGACAAATGTAATAGACCTATTCTTCACAATGCACATGTATGTTTGCTGAAAGCAGCTTTGAAAAAAGACTGAATTTTAAAGTAAAACTGAATTTTAAATTAAGCCTGGGAAATAATATCAATCAGCTTTGATCAAATCTCAGGGACTGGGTAAAGGTGTTAACAGGGATGGCTTACCATGAAAAATTAATTGACTTTTTTTGTGTGTCTTTTGGTTTTTCATTGTATTTTGTGTTGTTTAAACTGTAAACTTTGCTGCCTTTGTTTGTTTGATTTCTGTTGTGCCACAGACTGACTCTTAACTTGAAGAAAAAAAAGTTTGCATGGTTTTCAATAATTATGCTTTCCTGTGATTTCTCTTTACAGCCAGTGTTGTATTCTTATTTCCGAAGTTCTTGCTCGTGGAGAGTTAGGACTGGTATGTCATGACAGTGTTTTTTAGATTGCCTTATTTGATATCCTCAGCTACATCAGATGATAACTGGGTTTGGTCAAGGTCAATAATATTTGGGGCATGAAAGAAGTTGGAGCATAATTAATAGTTTGACTGAGTGTTGAACATCCAATTTTTCAAATAAGAATGTTACATCCAGAACATTGTTGCTGAACAAGAAAGCTACTAAAATTTTGGGATGCTCTTAAAAAGTTATTGCATAATTGATCTACCCAGATTGGCACAGGCACAAGTTCAAGAAGGTTGTATTTAAATATTCCAGTATTTTTTAAATTTTTTTTCATGAAAGAACAAAATATAAAAAATTCAGTTTCCTCAATGTTCTAACAAAAAGAAATAATAAATCACAGAGTGACCTAAAATGAAACATAGGCCAAGCATTATTTCCCAAGTCTTTCATCGTAAAGCGTTTGCAAAATAGATGCCAACTGCCTACTTTTATGATTATGCAAATAATACAAGGCTTCTTGTGAAACTCAGTAATGCTACTATTGTGTTTCCTTAGCTCTTGCCTTAAAAGAAATTGATTATGACACACATGCTGTTCACTTGCTGAAAGATGGAGGCCAGCAAGTAAGTTTTTACAAATGTCTTTGATTGGCTCTTTAATTTTGAGTGTTCACATGAATGAGGTGGACACACAACATGATATGATATGATATTTTTTGTTAAGATATCAAAGCACAGTACTTCTCCCCACCTATCAGTACAATATTAAGCAGACAAGTAGTGAGAATAAAGAAAAATATCAACTAGGGGATTATTGGTCGATCCAATTCCAAATTCTCCAAACTAATGTTATATGAATTGTATGGCAGAAAGTAAGGGGAATTACTAATGATATCTTGGGAGTTAATGGGTCAATTAAAAATTTTGTATATATGATAATTTATGCATCTGTGTGGCGGGCTTCAGACACAGAGAAAAGGCTGTCATGTTGATAGGACCTTTAAGTTTGCAACTGATTCAGCAAATTTAGACATATTAAAAAGAGGAGTTACCGGTATCCATTACAATAGAATAACCTTACATGAGATAAAATATGGTTAACTTTGTTATTTATATGTGCAAAAATTATGATTGTTCTTATAAAGTTTTCAGATGAGTTTAAAAAGTTAAATCCCATGGGCTATGTTCCTGCTCTGGTTATAGATGGACACACCCTTGCTGACTCAGTAAGTGTGGAATCTTTGCATTTGGGTAGCGTTAGTCTGTGAAGGAAGCCTCATGAAATTCTGATGAAGGGGGGAGGGGCAATTTTCCATGGACTAGCATCTCATCCAGGGGGGAGTAGAAATACTCCTAGTCATGATTAGGAGCACACTGGATGAGATTATTTCATCCTTAGTATCTTCTCTTCCTTCAATTAGTTTGGCAGATACTCTTCGTCAAACGACCCATGCATTGGAGATCCTGATAATTGCGAGATGCAGAGGAAAAAAATACACTTATTGATTAAAAGAACATTAAGCTTAGGGTCTAATGGATCATGTTCAATTTTGCAGCTGAGCATAATAGAGTATCTGGATGAAACAAGACCTGATCCCCCCCTGCTACCTAGAGATGACCCATTCAAGAAAGCACTGGTATGAAGTTATCCTCTGTTTTTGGAATATAGAAAATTCTACTGTCAATGTCCTCAGATTTGAAGCTGAATTACCAGTAGTCATATATACATGATCTAATTTGGAGCAATTTTCAAAAGTAATCTGGGATGCTTTGTTTTCTGCTTTACTTTGCTCTATGATCAGTCTAGAAAACTTTCACCACCTTCACAACTAATGATGTGCAAAACTAAAACCAACCACAACTTGGTCGCCAGCATTTTCTTGCATTTTAGGCAGTTTGGTTGGTTTAGTGTTGATGTCTTCTTGGCTCTGAAAAGTATTCTTCTTTCTTCTGATTGGCCATTCATCGGGTGGTGATGACTTTGATTTTACTTTTATTAATGATACTTAATTGAAAAGTACTCTAGTTAGATTGAAATTATCAAATTTAATTTGTGGAAAATCTTTCAGGTGAGGCAAGTGAGCCAAACAATAGCCAGTGGAATACAACCAATCCAGAATCTTTCTGTCCTGAAGTATCTTGGCGACGAGAGAAAAGCAGAATGGGGACATCATTGGATAAACAAAGGATTTCATAGTGAGTCAACACATTCATTAAGTGACTTCCCTTTATAATAGAGGCAATGGTATGCAGCAAGTTAAATTAATTGCCTTCTGTTTTCTGGCAGTGCTTTTTACACTTTCAGTTCAAAGTGATAATAGTTATGTGAGCTGTGAACAAGAGATTCTTACTTTCTTTTAACTTTCTTGATGTAAGAGTGAAAGGTGAGCAAGACTAGAGCCAAATTTTCCTCAGTGTGCTGTTGTCATGGGCATGATCCTTTAACTTGGTATTGATTGAGAGGAGAAGCTCCTCTGCAGCAGATTACCCACAATCAGCCAATACACGTAGATGGGCACAAAGCTCAGTAGGCTATCTGGTTCATGTGCATTGCAACCTTTCTCCTACCCCTCCCCCTCTCCTTCCCTCTTCTCCCCTCCCGACTCCTCCACACTTAAAAAATGTTAAATCAGATATGGGTCTCATTCAATTGTGCAGTTTAATCATAAACCCTTTTAATTAGCTCCTAAGAGTGACTAGAATCTAATTTCTCCTCACAATGCCACCCCTGAATCAAATTTTATGGTCACCGGAATAAAGGAAATGATCACCAACTAAAGAAGCTCTTGATTGTTAACCAAATTCTCATTGCCAACACCTTAGGAAATGTATAGAGAACAGTACTGAGAATACACAGAATGCTGTTAGATTATAGAGGGTTAAATATTAATCATCTTGACTAACAGATCTAGAGAAAATCTTGGAAAGGACATCAGGGAAGTATTGTGTTGGAGATGAGGTAACTATCAATAAGAAATATGTTTCTTTAATAGGTAATGTAATTACTGTTACAAATGTGCTCTCTTTATAATAAGAAATCTGTTAAGCATATCTGTAATTAATTGCTTATCATTTTCAACTTGGCAGATATCAATGGCTGACTTATGCCTGGTTCCTCAGGTGTACAATGCAAACAGGTATACCAGTTGTTTGAAGGCTGATTAGGGCCAACCTAGGGTTAAATTTTAATCTGGGTTTCTTTATCCCTTTGTTCAAAAGACTTTCTATAATTATTGTCTATTTGAAAGGCATCCAGTTATCAACTGTAGACAAATAACAATTATCTTAACCCAGCTTTGAACAACCCGGCCCGGGGCTCTTATTTCATATTTAGGTCAGGATGGGGGGCAATTTTTTTGAGGGAAGGAGCTGGGTAAGAGCTTTTTTGAGGGAGGCACTTATTTCCTTTTCCCCAAATCTTGAACAGACATGATTTCTTTTTCTTGCTAGAGAACATTTACTCAACAACAAAATAATCGGTGTGTTAATATACAGTAGCTGACCCTAGAGAGTTGTTACTCAAAGTTATTTTTCCAAGCCTAACTTGTTCACAAAGTGAAAGAATAATGTTGAATGGGCAAGCTAATTTCAAAATTAAGCTCTTTACTATTTCAAAAAATGTAATCATTATTGTAAAGGAAAGGAAGGAGGGAAAGATGTGAGCATGATTTGAGCAGAGGCAGTAATTTTGAGGTTGTGCAGAGGGTGGTCCAAGATTGTGCTCTTGAACTTATCACATCTGTGTTGTCAATGGCTTCCTATGAGTTCTACTCTTCTCGCTAGGGGATGGGAGTGAATGGGCAGGGCAATTTTTTGAGAGGATGGGGATGGATGAAAAAGGCAATTTTTTGAGGGGATGGGGGTGGATGGACATGGTAATTTTTTTAGGGGATGGGGGTGGATAGACAAGGTAACCTTTTTCAAGAGGATGGGGTTGGATGGACAGGGTAATTTTTTAAGGGAATGGGGATGTATGGACAGGGTAATATTTCAGGGGTATGGGGGTGGATGGACAGGGTAATTTTGGGAGGGGTGGGGGTGGATGGATTGAGGCAATTTTTTTATATGATTTGGGCGAGATTGCTTTTGGGCGACTTGACCTTAAACTGCTACATTTGAATCATATCCTTCTCACACAAGGCTCTTTTTGGTGATAGGTTTAAAGTTGACATGTCCCAGTTTCCAGTCATATCAAGAATTAATGATGATCTCTCCAAGTTAGAGGCTTTCAAAGTGTCCCACCCTTCTAAACAACCCGACTGTCCAGAAGAATCGAGGGAGTAAATGCATAGCGCACTAGGACTTAAAGCAGAGAAAGTAAAATTTCCTCTTGATGAAATTTCGTTAAGCGTGGCCTTTCATTTACTCCAAGGATATTTCTATTCAGTCATATTCATTGATTGAATTAATAATCTAATTTACACCGTTTAACGTATGTTAGGAATTCTGGTAATAAAGTGTCAAAATATTACAAATAAAACCTTCTGCGCTTCAGAATCTTACGATTCCAACCTCTTAACAATAAGATTATAAGCCCGAGACTTTTGTCGCGTGACAGTTGATGACAACGAAACCCAATTAAACTAGTAAACTATAAATCTCAGAGTCGATCAAAACGGTTACCGATCACTTCCCCGACATGTCAACTCGCCAACAACACTTGTAAATTTGCCAAAAACCTTTGTTCAACTCGTCAACACCACTGATCAACTCCCTGACGTCACTGGTCAACTGCCGCAATGAATTTGGACTTGGTTTTTAAAAAAAAACAAAACAAAATAAAACAAACAAATACACGAAAGAAATTAAGGCAAAATGACAGCAAATGACACATCATGCAAATCACATGCAAATAGTCATGAATATGTCACGCTTTTATATATTGGTTCATCTCCCCCTTTTTTTCTCCTTATTCGTCCTTTTTCCTTTGCCTTCTGTATCACTTTTTCTACAAAAGTTGCTTATAAAAACATTTTGAGAGAGGGGGTGGTTATGAAGTTAGTTCGTAGGCTGCACGTGTATGAAAGTGCTAACCTATCTGTGTGCATGAGTAGCTTAATTGACTTCGCTAATACATAGTTACATGATTCTGCTTGCATCATCTGAAAAATTACTGATTCGCTGCTGCCTTTTAAACACCGTCATATTACTTAGCCTCTCTCAGAAATGCCTCAAGTGCCGTTATGGGAATCGGAGGAAATGTATAAGAGGTCTTTCCGGGCACTTATAGACAACTCCAACATCAGACAATCAGCTTTACTTCACTTGAATCAAGACGCTGCTGCTGAAGCTCTGAAGAAAGTTATAGACACAGTTGACCCGAGCGAGCCCCTTAAAATTTTGGGAATTGGTAGCGGCCCGGGTGATAAGGATTTGCTAATTTTACCAACTATAGGGGAATATTTTACGTCGAAAAAGGGCAAGAAGCCTGCACTCCAGAATGTGATCGTTGAACCAAGTTCCTGTCTCCTCAATGAATTCAAGGCGAAGGTTTCTTCGTTGCCGCCATTGTTACAACAGATTACCGAGAGTATCTCGTTTGAATGGCACCAGAAAACATTTCGTGAATTCCACGAGGAAACTGCTGAAAAGAATCGTTTTCAGCTCATTCACTTTTACCACAGCATTTATTACTTGGATGTGGAATACGCGCTGCGATCCTGTTTCGAAGAGCATCTGACAACCGACAGTGGGGTAATATTGTGTCTGGTTCAAGCTGAGGATTCATACTTTGCCCTGGTGAGCCACAAATTTAAGGGAAAACTGAGTTGTGGTTCAGAGGACATGGCCTTCCGCACGGATCAGGAGCTTGTTGCTATTGCTGAGAAACACGGATGGAAGTACTCCGTTCCCCTCAAGGAACAGTTTGAGATCAACGTGACCAGCTGCCTTGCCGAGGAGCCAACTGAAAGAGGTGACTTGTTGATTGACTTTTTGACTCAACAGCAAAATTTCCGGGCGACTGCCGAGCCAGATTTGTATCACAGTGTGATTGAGTTTATCGGTTCATTGACTTTTATCAAAGAAAACGGCGACAAGTTTGTGCAAGGACGCAGTGCCGCAGTATTAATCTACAAGTGATAAAACGTTACTTGTTTATTTACACCTCTAGACAGAAGGGTGTTAGTCACGCAACGCTGAAAATTTTTCCTTTTGTGTATTACCGTTAGAAAATCATCAGACATCAATCGACCGTTTCGAGCGTAGTGTATCTGCCAAGTTTCATAGAGGTTTTAAGCAAATACATAAAAGTAATAGCCTCAAAACGTTAATTTTTGTGTTGAATGGTACATAACCCTTTAACCCCTAAGAGTGACCAGCTTCTAATTTCTCATTACAATATCATCCCTGAAACGAACATCGTGGTCGCGAGAATCAAGGAAATGATCATTAACTCCTCTTGATTTTTAAACAAATTCTCCTTGTCAGCGCTTCAGGAAATGTATGAAGAACAGAATGGAGAATATTCATACCGATGTTAGGGTGTAAAGGGTGGAGAGGTAAGTGCAATGCACTGAGAAAATGGTAAAAGTACCTCTACCAATGGGACTGCTGAATAATGTAAAAATACTGTAATCAAGCAACATGATTGTAGTAGCTTATTGAGAGCAATTAAAGAGTGAATTTCTCCATTAAATGAATATACAACAGCAAGGATACATCCGGATATCTTTGAAAACTGTAATTTTTTTGTCCTTCTTCGTTGCAGTATAGATTTTTTCACAATGGTGTCAGTAAAATGCGTAAAGAAGCGCAAAACGGTAAACTGGGAGTCTATGGATTTCCATGTTTATCTCCCTGATACCAATTTTGTTGCTTACAGGCCTTCACCCTTTCACTCCCAAGAGCGACCATTTGATTCTCATAGTGAGTCAAATTAAGAAAGCAATTTATTCTGATTTAATAAACAAACTAACGAGAATTTCATTTCACAACAATCTTTTTGTACCATTCGATTCAAACTCTTCAAAATGAGCGCATTTCGATTGAGCGCCTTTACTTTACGACAGCAGGAGCCTAGTAATGGGCTCCTGACAGCAGCCAATCAGCATAAAGGTAAATGTCACAAGGAGTTAATGAGAATTTAAAGTGAAAACAAGAAAACTTCATGAAGCGCGGGGAAATGCGATTGTTCAAGTCACTGTTGGCTTTAGTTCACAATCTGATTGGTTGAGAAAGTGGCGCGAGCTTTCCAGGCCAGTCAGCGCGCGAAGTAAAGCAAAAGCAAAGCAATCCCAAAACTCCTTTCGGCACTCAGAAAAATTGCCCAATCGATCTTTTAAGGTTATTGATGCTCGAGCTTCTCACAAACCGCGACCAACCAACGGATGAATTTTAAAGATCTCAAGGCATGCCTTGAAGTGAGCTGTAACTCAAGATTTGCCAAAGGATCGAGGATTCACTCTGTTCTTACATTCTTAGGCTATTCTGTCTGAGCCTTTCGCGTATAAAATCTGCGCTAATCGGTCCTCATATTTCGAAGTGTTACGTTGTATAACGATATTTTTAAAATCCTCTCTTAATTGCTCACATCCATCGTATTATGGTGTGTGTTTGTGTTAACTGCTAATCTCTCACTCTGATGTAAACTGCACGCCTTAATATCATAGTCGGGGCGTATTCCAGCTTTCGTCAGTGTAATGAAGCGACTAGGTAGGGCAGCGTTCAAACAGTGTTCAAACAGCGTTCAAACAGCGTTCAAACCCTGACCTTTTAATTATTATTTAAGAGTGTAATTAACTTTTTTAGTTTAGACCCATACCTCTCACCGCTATTCAAAATATCTTCCCTTCCTCTGGGTGCAACTGGAGTGTTCTCCAAGTTTTTAAACTTCAATAGTTTTTCAAGTGTCAACAGCCATAATGAATCAACGGCCTCGCAACTTTAATTGAATGGGTAAACCTTAAAGATTGCTCATCAGTCAGAGCGTGTAGGAGCTGTAAAAGAACCTGAATTTGTCGCGTCAAATCTCGAAATCAGCTGTTCACAACAGTTGCTTTGCCACTATTTTGTTACTGATCATTACCAGGTAAGATATCAGACGCCGAAGCATTCGGAATTCTAAATGAGTGTAGCTGACTTCGTTTGAAAATATGCGCTCAAAATAGAAAATGCCTTCATAGACATGATTCTTCAAACACTCGTCATTAACAAAAAGTGTTAGGTTCGTCGTAAGTTCCACCACCCGGAAATGCAGTTATTGATGGACGGTATTTTCAAGAAGATTCCTTGGAAAGAGTTCAAAACTTTACAGATAGCCCACGCTAGTATATTACCTAAACTTTTGAATTAGAATTCGTGTCTACCGGAACGTTCTCTGCGACCAAACCAACATGTTTAAGAACAAACGTAAACACTGACGTCATTATTAACTCACCCATAGAGGATTTCAAACAACGCGTATTCATATGAGTATATACTCATGCTGACAGGAAAGCGCAGGACTCGCAATCACTAGAAGACAGATGAAACCGTTCTTGCAATTTAAAAGTCGATTATCGTTTAGCTTCCACTAACTAGAACTAACCTGAGCTTGTTCTGCCACAATCTGGTTCTTTAAGAGCCGAGTAATGGCCAAATAAACTGTTCGTGACCAAAGTAGATGGTTGATCAAAGATAGAGTATGGCGAAGGGTCATCAACAGCTGTTGATCACAGCACCGTGTGCTCCCTTCCGCGGCACCTACTGCGTCCACTAGTGATAAACTTTTCTTTGCCGTAACACCAAGCTGTGTTATGTGGGGGTCTGTGCTTTTGTGATTTGCGGTGTTTCTTTATCTCACCTTTTATTGATCTTAAGATCCCGTCAGTATGTCAAGTTCCGTGTTTTGACAACACGGGTGATAATGTTTAGCTATCAAGGGCGTTGTCGCCGAACTTGCTCCGGTTAGTTTTTCGTCAGAACAACTACTGACCCATTTTGCAAAAAACATTTGAGCTTTTTTTTTTACTGATACGTTACCTCGGCGTTGTATGAAGACATTTTGTCAACAAACGGTTGAATGCTTGACTGTTTTAAATCTTCATCAAGATCTGTAAGTAGTTTAGTTATGGTAGCGTTTGATCTCTTAATCCGACCTAAAGTAATCATAAATTTACCAAAAGTTTACAATATATTTCCTATACATACGTTATTCTGTCTAATATATAATTCCAAAAAAAATTTGTATACTTACGTTATTCTGTCTAATATATAATTCCAAAAAAAATTTGTATACTTACGTTATTCTGTCTAATATATAATTCCAAGAAGAACCGTTTTTTTATTTCTTTCTGTAATGGTTCTCTGTCATTTTTGTTATAAGCATTATTGGTCACCAGCGTTTATTATGTGAAAAGTTGAATAAGAAATTAACGGGAAAACAAAAAATTTCTTAGATTTTTGTCAACATTGTGATCTGATAGAAATCAGGGAACCATTTGCTCTTCCCGAAATTTCATTTGTCAGCTATTTTCCTCACGGCAGTTGGAAGATTTTGCTGTAAAACCACGAAATGACAATAAACAAGTAACATTCATGAGTCAATTTAATGAACATGGCAGAAAATTTCTGCTGTGGCTAAACAACGATGTCTTAACTATATGTCGATCCGTTCTTTTTCCTTTGTTTTCGTGAATATAAGTGCCCTGTTTGTCTCTTTCACTCGAGACCAGAGAGTTAATTTTCTAGTATCAAACAGAGACGTACCTATAAATAACTTTATGCATTGTGATTTGGATGTCGTGAATTTGGTTTTTTTCCCACGCTCGTTTCACCTTTATCCCCCGGGTTTTCATGTAGTTACGATCAGCAGTCCCCAGTTGGAAATCTTTGCAACCCAAAAGAAGTGGCCATCTCGCGAAGCACATGGAGTTGGTGTATTTAACTGAACAATAGCTACTTGGAACAAAGGAGGCGCTCCTGCGTGCATCACGCCATTCGTGACTGTGGCATGTATCTTGTCTTCAGTCTTCAAAACAAAGCCGGCTCCTAATGTTCTTGCTTTGAAAGTTCGATATTGTAATTTACTTCATATCTACAATCAAATTTTTGCAAAGTTGATCTTCACACCGAGTTTCATTTATTCAAACATAGTTCCTACCACGTTACAAAGATCAAATTAACTTTTCAGTTACTGCCGTCCCATTCGTTACTCAAGACAATGGCAAAGAACAGAAAAACTAACTAAACTTGTCAAAGTCAGTTCATTCAAAGGATAGGATAATATCGAATACTAATATCCACCAAAGCGTTCGAACATATCTGGCGAAATCTCAAACTGAAGCTATCTTTGATTTTTACTATCGCCAAACTGCCACATATCAGAAGCTTTCATGTTTGTTTGTTTGCATGCGCTATTAACAGGCCATTATCCCGCGCACAAAGTCATCTTCCTTTTCTTTAGGGAAAGGCTCTGAAGATTAGAAGACATGTCGGTTCTGCGTGGCATCTCACATGATTCTCAAGTGAGAAGAAATCAGGCATGCCCCAAAGGTAAAATGAACCGCGAAGGATTGTTATACAGACGCCACCAGCGGCGAGGCAGGAAATACATGTAACAACGATGATCTAAGATATTCAAAATGGACTGGAAAGAACAAAAACCTAACTCCTTACTAATCACGAATTATAGCTCTTTTGAAGACAGTATGGGTTACTTGTGCTATTCATTACATTGTTTGATTGTAACCCCCGCGTGTAGTTTCGTTAAAAAGGCGGAGCCACACTGGACTCTTAGGCAAAGTTATTGGTTGCGAATTTAGCACCTCTTTGAAGCAAACAATAAAACGTAGATTATTAACACAAACACTAAACACAATGAACGACCGCATCATCGACCCTGATGTCTCTTTCATGTCACTGCACTTTGTTTGTAACCTGGCGTTTTGATTGGCTCGCGATAAAAAATGGTACACCACCGTATCAATTACGCTGCTTGGTTAACATTGGGTCAAAAATACTGACAACAAATTAACGCCGTCAGTTGAGAAGCTGCCACTCGTCTATCCGTGCGCTGTCGTGTAAACATTGTGACAACCAGGTCTCGTTGAATTGATAGCATTTGTACACAGTTTTTCGCAAGCACGACGGACATTGTAGTGGTCATGAAAGATCAGGTTGGATTATATAATCAAGAAATGGGTTCTCAAGAAACGATAACAACTTCGGACGAGAAGGTTTCGGGAAACCAGGATGGCCATTCGGTTGCTAACCAAGAGAGGGTAAGCGAAGAAGATAAAGAGTCTGAAAACTCCAAAGAGGACGAGCAAACAGGAAAGTGCGAAAGCAAAGGGGGAGAAGAGAAAAAGTTTGAGAAGCCGCCATTTTCGTACAATGCTTTAATAATGATGGCTATTCGTGGGTCACCGGAGAAAAGACTCACTCTGAGTGGTATATACGATTTCATTATGAAGGTCAGTATCCAACGTGCTGTCTTTATTTCACTACTTAGTTTTTTTTTACTCTTTCAGCTTTTAATATGAGTAATATTATGAGTACAATTGACAGTTAGTCAGTTTAACTGTGGATTTTATGTAAGGTATATCTAACCCAAAGTGGGTTAAAACAAAACGAGCTTGTTACATTTCAGCGTAATCCAAAAAACCCACCGGATAGAAAATTTATCCAAATTAGGCACTGATAATATTATTTATTTGTAACGTTTACCGCAAAGAACAACGTGTAATCGGCTCATCAATATCATGACTAATTTGCGAATTGACATCTGGCCTTTCGGACTAATTTGATTATCAATTTTTTGTCCTTTTTTTTTTTTTTGGCAGAATTTTCCGTACTATCGTAATAACAAGCAAGGTTGGCAGAACTCTATCAGACACAACCTCTCGCTCAACAAATGTTTCGTGAAAATTCCTCGCCACTACGACGATCCTGGTAAAGGCAATTACTGGATGTTAGATCCTAGTGCAGACGATGTGGTCATCGGTGGTACGACAGGGAAGCTTAAACGACGAAATCCTCCATCGTCCAGAAACCGTATAGCGCTAAAACGGCAACAGAGAATCTCTCCAATTCCAAGGTATACTTTGGACCCATCTCAAGCTGGTTTCTGTTCAAGTTTCTGGCCCTATCCACCATCCATATTCTCAGCGTCTTTGTCTCCGCATATGAGAAGAAACGACCTACTGGGAATGTCATGTACAATGAACTGTAACTCGTCCCTCCCTCATCCAACGCCAGTTCTTCCACACCCATCTCCTAGCGTCCGATGCCTTTTTTCTTCATCACCAGAGATGAGCCTTTCAAGCCGCTGCCACGGGTTTGGCGTTCTACCACCGTCTTTCCCTCAAAGTGGCCATTTCCCCGTCAGCCATGCACGTCCTACAATGGAACCACAGTGGCCGAGTTCAAGACCGTCTTCCCCATTTTCAGCAGACAGGTTCATGACAAATAGTGACTCTGTTTTCCCGTCTGCGTTCAGCACAGTACCTAAAATACCATTTGGTTCTCCTGCATTACGACCTACCTTCTCTTTCTTAAAAGAAAACGCTTCTCCCGCTTCGCGCACCACTTTCCTGTCCGAGTGCAAATAAACGTTTAAATTGGACGTTGATATAAATCTTTATTTAAAAGAAAAGACAGAATAGAAATTAAACCGAGGAGTGAAAACAAAGCACCCAAGAAACTGTGATATATTTGCGGTTGTACGACAAGGAATAGCCAGCTGAAATGATGTTTATTTACAATGATTCGTCGCTAATTCGCTTTATTACTAAAGCCACTTTGTTCAATATTTTCGTTAATTGTCTAAAACGTACTGTTTGGGACTAGCAGGTCAAAAAAATCTAGTGAAAGTTAATTTCAAAGTCACCGTTTTAAACATTAATGAGACAAGTAAAGTCAATAACTAAATCGTGTAAATTTGTAAATTTTGCTAGTACGTTGACACCTCAATCCGTGAATGTGAGCAAATACCAGATAAATATTTATGGCTGAAATGTGTCTTGTTAATTCAATTACCACATTAAAATTTAACGACTCGGTTTCCTTGTGTGGACATGTAAATCAGAACTGTTTGCCAACGAGTTATAATCTATTCAATTGATATTTCTCAGCTAGTACCTTAACAGGTGAAAGAGTAAGTCTATTATCACACACAGGAACAACTGTATTCCAAAACCTGCATGTTTTATTGAAGAGCGCCGGAGTTAATTATATAGTTATGCCGTTACCGTAGTTTTCCTGGTTTCATTTTTCACTCTTTAGGCTCCTTTCCAAACTTAAAACTTTCCTTTTCAGAGAAAAACTGTCCTTTAAAAAGTGAAAAACTAAAGATTATGGAATAAATTTAGTCGACAGAGAGAACCATCTCGTTCTTTTACACTCAACACAAGAGACTTGACTCAATACCATTCAACTGTTATGGCTCTTTCGTCCCATTTCAGAGTCTCTTAATTGCTTAAGGCAATTAGCAGAAGAAATAGTCTGTAAAGCTTCACTTCGGTTAATTAGCACCTTCGCATGTAGCTTACGGACCTTTATTTGGCTATGATTACATAGAAAAACCACGGTAAACTCTGTCCAGCCTTCTTTCTTCTTGCGCCGATCAAAAACAATACCATCTTCGCTTTTTTGTTGACTGTTCGACTGTCTTGAACAGTTTTGTCTTGAGAGCTTCAAAAGGTCAAGTGTAGACGAGTCCAGTTTTTTCTTGACAACCCTGTGGAGTTATTTGTTTGGGAATTAAACAAAGGCGCAGCGTGGAAAACATATGAGCCGCGACTTAACTGCTTTCATATGCTAATTCATCGTAAGAGCGTTTTTACACACACCTCAATGGTTAAAACAAATAGTATAATAGCTGGAATCCAGTAGTGTTCTTTTAGCTCGCAGAGCTCATTATTTAGTTAGTAATCCATTGTTTGTCCACTGTTGGCTACCTTTTGTTTACTTCTCTCTTCATCGTCTGTTGTGCAACATTGGGGAGGCCTATTTACAGCACGCTTGAGCTCACTACAGCGTAATTTTCTTAATTAACCCGTCCCCCATCTATAAAGCTTGGCGTAATGTTTTGTGTCTCAGCTTTTTGTATAAATGACGAGCTCACATCAAAGTAAACAACTTCGTCGAACTTTGACCATCTCAGCTCGACAAAGTTTTCCAAACACTGCTATCAATGCTGTCGCGATAAATTAAACCTAGTTAGTAACTTTTGCAAACTTCTAAGCATTACTGCTCTAAAGTTATTTCATGGTTAGAAACTCCATCAATCAAGCATATGGCAGTCATTAGCGAGGAGTCAATAATCTGAGAGATAAACAAAAGCGCAAATTGGTCTAAACAAAGTCCGCACAGTAAAGTGGTAACGCAGTATTTTTTAATCGACCCGCCGCCAGTAATTTTCTTGCTTTTATGTTGCTTAAATTGTAGCCTAACATATGGAATTACTGTAAAAATACTACTTCAAAAACTATTGTTTGATGCATTCTACCGTCTGATAAAACTGCTTGTACACTGCAGGCAGCATAGCACTAAAGGTGATCACAGCGAACGTTACAGCTTTTTTTATGATTAAATTGAATCATACCAAACCGCAATACAACTCTCAGTACATTTAAATTCCTCTTTCAAACCCAAATGTTTAAAAGCAAAAATGGAATTTCACTCTCTAAGCTTTATGTTCTTGCTACATCTTTCTTAATAACAGAAGATTCTTATAAGACCGTCCTACAATTTTATTTAAATTCAGGATTTTTCTCTACCAAACGTATTTGCGAGAACACACAAAAACAATAACCGGACCAAATGAAAAACTGGTATCATCAAGACTACCTTGAATTCTAAAATAATGAAATTTTAGTTCTGTTGCACCTCAAACAAGTGAATCAAACCATGTAACCGAGCCCAAACGATCCCACCCATTTTTCAGAGTACCAATAGTTAGAAAAACAAATCGACTCAGAAGTAAGGCAATTGTTTTCCAAATTGGAACGCTGATACAAAAGCGCGGATTCCCGCTGAAGCACCGCGAACTGAGAGATCACGGAAGGACACAACACATGCAAGAGAGCCACTTCGTTCACGCAAAGAGTTATGTTGAGAACAATCTCCTTGCTCTAAACTATTTTCTATATTTTCATCTCTGTTTCCTTCAAACATTTGGATCGTAACAATGTTCGTGTTTTCACTGTTTGGAAGAAGTCGCGGCAGGGAGGGAGCTATGTATACTGCAAGGTTACTTATAGCGCGATTTGAAAGCACAACAATACTGCCGAGATGCTAGCACAGCGGGCCTCGCAGAACAAAACTTTAATTTCAATTTCCTGTCAGAGAGGGTTCCTTTCTAATGACGCATTCCTATATAAAAAGCGATTCACTCCTTAGTCACAATTAACTCCTAAAATGTTGTAGGTATTAGAATTTTGAGCCTTTAAAAAAAAAAGACAAATATGCAGTATCTTCGATTGAAGAGACATCACAAACGATCCATGCTAACATTAAGAAGAGACGCGACGAAACTAGTCATTTTTACGCGCGAGGTAAGATACCGAAATAAATGCTGAAATTGTTGGTAAAATGTGGCTTAATTGATCATTCAAACCATTTAATTTTTTGTTACCGCCTGAGGTCGCCCCAGGGTTTCTTGATCGAGCAGTTTCCTTGAGGTTTTCTCGCAGCTTCCACGCATTTCGAAGTCAATTTTAAACTTGGAATTGTACTTTTATTTCAATTTTTTACAGCGCAGAATTTCAACATTAGGCTGTTTCCTGTGTTACATTTTGCCATCCGATAAAAATCGCTCTTGACCTTCGCTTGGATGTCTTATATAAATATTATAATTAACCATTTTCAGGTGATAAAACTTTTTTGTAACGTTGGGAAGTTCAAAATGAGAAATTAAAAGTCCTATCTTTTCGATGTGGTCTGTTCGAGTAAAAATTTCAGATTTCCTTTTTCAGAATCGATTGGAAACTTGTTAGGTGATAAACACATGGACGAATACCTTGACCTGTTCAACGCCTCTGACATTTAACAACGCTCCTTTTTAGCCAATGCGGCGATACACAATTTTCATTCACATTTTAAACTTGTTTAACTAGAAAACAAGGGCAGCTTGTTATGATCTGTCTAAATAATCGGAAAACCTGGCAAGTTCGATCGAAGACATATAACGTTCAAATATTATCCAGCGATGAAAGCTCAGTAAGAACACAATCATCGTATATGGGTAAATTTGCGTCTAATAATTAAATTTCACGAGGAATGCAAGGTAACGACTTTGAAGGTTACTCGATGCTATAAAATCTGCTTGGAGATTTGTCTCATTGAAACCAATATATCGCGAGTAACTATCTAGCACCTCATGAATTTCTTAAAGTGCTTCGACGATTTCAAGTTAGTCTATACGAAACGTTATATTTTCCCTAACTATTCCCTGACGCTTTAGCTAACTTCGTATACTTGAGATCGATCGAGCAGACAAAACGTAAGAGAACGCAGATAGACATTAAAGACTGGAGGCAAATTGCAAATGAAAAACTCCGAGAAATTAGCTTGATTCTAAACAAGTGTTATCTATTTTCGTTTGTTTATGATACACAATGTTTTCTTTACGTTTTTTTTCTTTCGCGCATTGTAATAATGGTACCGATTGGTGCTAATACAAAGTAATAAGACGTACTGTGGTGCTTTTGCGTATGTACTGTAAACATCTTTCCCAATATGGCCACAATTGGTATATTTTTTTTAACGCACATGTTTTCAATAGAAAGTGTTAAACCTAGATGGAAAATTTTACTTAATTCTGAATACAGCGTCCGTGAAACCACCAAAACACGCCTTTTATTCATGCCAGGTAGTAAAATTTCGTTTATCGTTCATGGAAGATTCTCACGGGTATCTGGAATTAACTATTGTTCCATAGATACAAATAACTTTTGCTTTCTGTCTAGTTTACTATCCCTGTCTGTAAAAAGAAAATTTCATTATCTACACGTGGAATATTTGTATTTTTTTTTTTGGTATTTTTTCAAAACGTTTTGGTAAATAATTTATCAATGATGTGCAAAGTTTGCCAGATTTGTGACATGTTTTACTTGTAAATAATGTAAAGAAAGAAGAATTTTTGTTAATGGAAAAAAAAACAGCTTCCATTTGTCGAGAATCTCTAAATTCTATTTCAACATAATGCAATGTTACTCAACTTTCAGAGTACGACTGAAACAGATTCGAATTTCTTAAATTCTCCAGTTTGTATCCGTCAATTAAGCAGGAGAGAATTTTTGGTCCATTTTGAAAAAATCTCGCCTGATATCCTTCTTCAGTATTTTGACGGTGAATAACAGTACTTATTTTAATTTGATAGAAGGGAAATTAATGCCATGGAGAGTTCATAGGAACATTTATTACCGCGAAAGATGAAAAGCCGCCAGAGATTAAAAGTTGACGTACCTTGAGATGTAGATAAGGGTTCGGGTTTTGAAACAAAAGGCCACGTTACGGAAGATAGTGAGACTAGCTGCTGGTCATAATTAATATTTCTTTGTGCGATGAAGAGTTATGGAAAAGCAACCCTGGAAGGGTTTGAAGGACG